AGAGCTCTAGCTGACAACACTATAAGGATGTACCATGTTGGAATCAACAGAATGGCTTCAGGCCTCAACATGAGTTACAGAGTGCGAGTTAACAACTGTAAGTTAGTACACAAGGGCAATATTGTAAGTAGCCTACATGCCTCTGGTTCGATGTTTGTTTGTCTTTGGGGTTACGTCTATGTATTGTAATATACCAGAAAATGTTTAGTAGTCCAAACCCATACAATGTATACAATAGTGCTGCTCGAGTTACATGCACCTCCAGATTTGTATTGTCTGATAAAGTTCTGTCACTAGTCCTCAATCTATTACTTATATTTATTCAATGACACTGGCTGCAAAGACCTGTATGGAAAGGCGAAAGGGACATTGTCCAACTGTCTTTGCACCTCACCTTGTGATCGTAGACAACTCCACACGTCTGATCTGCAGCAGGGATGGAGGTCGCCAGCTTCGTCCATGACGTCTTCTCCCTGCCATGAAGCTCCAGAACGCCACCTGCCGCCACACCGATGAACTTCCGGCCGAAACCAGGAACGTTCAGTGTTGAGTCGCTGAGGCCTGCAATAGATCGATGTTATCATTTAAATATCTGTTACGTTAGTGGTGTGTCTCAATAGACCATGTTTGGATAATATACTGTACCTGTAGGGACGAAGTTGGCTTTCGTAGTAAATCTGCTATTTCTATATACTTGTTAATATACTCTACCTGTGAGGACGATGTTGGCTTTCTTGGTGAATCTGCAGTCGTCGCTGCCGACGTGGAACTCCCCCCTAACCAGGACGTAGCTGACGGTGAGTGTGATGTCAGCCCTGTCGTCCCACACAAGACTGGCCCCAGACTCCACCGTGATCGACCCGAGGGACGGAGTGGACTCGTCCAGTAGCACGCGCATGCCCGATGTCAGGGTGACCTGTAAGGAATAATTTCGTGTAGACAGATAACTACCGTACATAGCTCAAAACTTTGAGTTTGGCCCAAACACTCTGTCACTCAAACAGGAAGAGATAATTATGTATAACAATAACCAAACAACAATTATAACATAAAAGAACAAGACACTATTTGCTTCAGGATTGTTTTAAGGTCTTTAATATAGCAGAATGTTTGAACCAGCCGATTGATCATTAGCACGGTGGAAACACATATCCGTTGTGGATCACAAGTGGTGTTTCGTATCATATGGTCAAAGTTTTAATTCAAATTATAACACATATACCTGAATGGGATACTGGTTTTTTAATATCAAATAGTATCTTTCTGTTTTTCATGTAATATTGGGATATTTCAGTTGTTACAATATTTCGTTTTATTTCGGCATCTTTAGGGATGAAAAGCTACACTTAGGCTTTAGTCACCTGTTGGCCTCCCCCTGGCTTGGTCCCTCCCCACGTGCTGGCATCGCTCCATCTCTTCAGACCGGGGTCCGTGTGTGGACACCCAGCGTCCACTGTCGCCAGACAAACCAGGGTCAGCACTGCAGCCAGTGTCCGAGATGACCAAACGTCGTTCATCGTTGTCACCATGACGAAGATGTTGTGAGGGACTGACCAGTCACTGTATATATACTCGTATGTCCGGCGTTCATGTGACGCAGGTGGCACTATCTGACTGTATTTATTGTAGCCATCAATGTTTTATCAGTGCGATCTCACAGTTCAAGGATGCCTTTCTAATTACCTCAGGTAATAGCAAGGGTTACCCAAGTGCCAGCTCCCATTTATCATGAAACATCTTAAGTACTCCCACACGGCAGCGCAATAATACCCCCCGGGCGTGGTCTACCTGTGTCACCTTTGGTTCTGTACACATAGACGCAGCGTGTCAGCAGGGGGTAGTTTTGCGCGGGTTTGATCTAGAGGTATATCACGGCATGTCAGCTAAATGTTGAAGGAACGCCCGATCGGACCCATGAATTAGACGTGTATCATGTTTGGAACCGACAAACCAATAAGCAGAATGACGACACATATGAGATACGAATCCATGACAATAGGGCCTGGTCAGGCCTATATTGCTTAGACTACTTGGCTACCTGTTGTCCCCTGCTTACCTTGCACCCCGAGTTTTAAGGAGAGTCTACAGTTCAATTGTGGCAAAACCCAGGGAGGAGCAATTTCTAATTTAAGGAAACAAAATATTTTATGTATCCCTAGAAACTCATGAAATACTATTTAATTATAGTTTGTGCTTTTCCACATTGATGGGTGTTCTTTAGATTATGACAATTGTTTTAGGTTTTATTGATGTCGCCGGTTGTTGTTTGTTGCCGATGGCGTTAAGGCCGTTGAGGACGATGATCATAGAGTGATAACCGGTATCTGAGGACGTATCATTGTTGGAGTTATGATGACACCTTGTGGTGTTGTGTAACATAGGGAGAGACATAGGACTGTCGCCATGATGTTTCGTCAACCAGGTGTTTGTATATGACTGATTCCGCGAAGTAGCGACCATGGCTGCGAGCGAGAGTCGATGATAACAGTGGACTGTGTCATAATCTGCTTATTGCAGAAAGGTTGATGATGGAGATAAGATAGTGGCATCCACATGGATTTGATCATTTCTTTTACAATTATGATAAAAGGACATAACTGTTACTATCATGCATGAAGCCGACGTATATCATCTAACTGCTTCGATCTATTCTGGAGCGATATTCACAAAAAAGTTCCTTTTGTTAAAATATAAATTGTTTGTGAAATATTCTACGAAATACTCTGAAAACTAAACGTTATGATAACTTCTATTCAGAATATTCAGGTGTAAGGTAAACTCTCTGGGAAAGCAGCCATTTAGGATCTCAGGTGTTGATTAAAGAGCTTTCAGTATTTGTAGAATAGATGTCAAAATAAGTATCCATTTCTAGACAACCTGTGACAAGCATTTAGGAAATTTGCGCATGCACATTTTAGCTATTCTTAATGACGATTGGTCAGTTGTCATAGTTCATTCACTCGGGACAGATTGTTTGTGATTCGACAGGTGGTAGGTGATTTAAAAAAAAACTATAAAATCTCGAACAAAAATATGGTGGCGTCTTATAAAAGTCAATCTTATAATTTTACAGCAAAAGTGAAACTTATCTACGCGTAAACTCACAGCCTAAATAGGATAGGATTTTGAAACCTTAACTTAATTCAAAATTATTATTTTATAACCTTCCCTGTGTAGTTCAATGTATATTTGTGCACTGATGAATGTATTTACACCTCCCACTATTGTCACTAACTATGGCGTCGAAAGCATTGTGACGTAGAAATGTTGGCTTTGGCCTTTGTCTAGGTTTCCCTCCATCGCTAACCGTTACGTCATACGCATTATGACGTCACAGATACTGCGTTGTGCGTTGTCTCTTACTATGTTAAGTTTTCATTTCACCTGACAAGCCGTTGATCGTGTTTTATTTAACACATGAACTCACTTGTGTGTAATATAAAACATCGTTCTGTACATACACTTTTGCCACTATAGTGCTGTGCACATGATTTTGATCGATTCACCTGCACAAAAACGGGTGTTATCTGAAGACAATACGTGGCCATTACTGTTTAAATACACAATAAGGGCCCACAATGATAACTGGTCAAAATGTTAACATTTTAGGATTGTGAAGTTTTTAATTTGGTTCAGTATATATCAAGTTGCGTTCATCCTTATCAAGGAGCAGTGGTTTGCTAAATATGTTTGTTGATTTCATTTAACATATTTCATGAACAAAGTGAAAAGGACAACAGTGAATCACTTTCTGTGTCTCTCCAGCGATTCTTCCTGCTGCTAATCACGTGACGCAGGACACACTTTCCTTACAAATGGCCTCAATACTGTCGCGGACTCGGGATGCTGAACCGCAAAAGAAACGTCAACCCAAGTAACATTGCATGAAAAGTTGTCATTTAAATATCTGGGTAATTTTTGGCAAAGTTTCTCAAATTTAATATTACCATGTCCTGAAAAATGAAATTTGATGATAAAAAAACAAAGCAGTTGACAATAAAACCGATCGCCCAAACGAATTACGGTAATGGCCAAATTAACTTGATGCACGCGAGTTCCCACATTTCTTGCCCTACAAAAATCCACCGAGATCGGATATAATTCAATCGTTATTGAATTGCTACCTATGCCAAGATTGACAAGAAATCAGCGACACCAAGCCCTTGGACAATTGCAAGCTGGACAAACTGACCGACAAGTAGCCAATGCATTTCAAATCTACGTAAGGACCATATACAGGCTCCAGCAACGGTACCAGACCACCAACACTACAGATGACCGACCACGTAGTGGAAGACCAAGGCTCACCACCCGACGTCAGGATCGTCAGATTGTGCGACATCATCTTCAAGATCGCTTTGTTACTGCTACAGAAACTGCTCGACAGACCATGGGGACATCCCAGCGACACATTAGTGCGATCTTTTCCTCGTTCACCAGAATTATCAGCATCCACAGTTATTGTTATGCATCAGTGATGTGTTAATCAGTGATGTGAGGCGGTATGACGATTATCATGATGTTGTTATGCATCAGTGAGTGAGAGTTGTGTTTAACGCCGTTTTTAACATTATTCCAGTTATATCAGCTTAATGTGTTTTACCACTTCGGGGATACCCGCCAGCACGGGTATGGTGCTGACAATCCTGGAATCATAATCGGGGCGGACCGGGATTCGAACCCACAACCATAGGTTTGTGATGTTAGGCGTTAAGACGATTGTCATGATGTGTTCTGCATCAGTGATGCGAGGCGGTGTGACGATTATCATGATGTGTTCTGCATCAGTGATGGGAGGCAGTAAGACGATTATCATGATGTGTTCTGCATCAGTGATGTGAGGCAGTAAGACGATTATCAAGATGTGTTCTGCATCAGTGATGTGAGGCGGTGTGACGATTATCGTGGTGCGAGGCGGTATTAAAGTTTAAAGTTTAACCATACAGTGATGACCTGGCCATCATTGCAATTTGTCATTGTAGGTATAACATTTCTAAAAATGATTTTTTAAAGTTTTATTTCCAGTGAAATATCTGACCACTCCCAATTGTTGAATCAAGACAAACATACTACATCTATATACAGTTTGATGTGGACGTTGGAACGTATTGCCCCTCTTTTTTCTCAAGTCGGGGTGGGACGTAATGTCATCTTGCACACGGCCGCATACTTTGAACCAGTACAAGCTGTATTTCGCCACGTGATCTTGTTGTCATGGTAACATATCTTCGTACAGTAGCCACCGGTCAGTCCAGACATGCCATGTCCGTCGCTCCAGTTCTCGTAGACGGGGTCCGATCCGTCCAGCCAGGTGAACTTGTCGAACACACTGCGGTACCGGTAACCTGGGAACAGTGTTAAAATTACGTCAGATACCAGGCACTACAATAAACATACAAATACACTATATACTCCTGTGCATTATAAATACTTGTCACTGGATATAACGAAGATGTTCAGTGAAGGAGTGAGTGAGTATGGTTTTACGCCGCTTTTAGCAATATTCCAGCAATATCACGGCGGGGGACACCAGAAATGGGCTTCACACATTTCAGTGAAGAAACTGATTATTAGGTGTAGTTGAACGTAGTTGAGCGTCTCGCCGCTTTGAACACTATTTCAATTAGAAAAACGATTATCACGGAGTGTCAGCACAATGTGGCCGGAAAACCCACGAAATCGGTTAATCATTTATTGAATCTCGGGAAATTTGATATGGTGCGGCCACGCCAAGCATCACAACGGGGTACTAATGGGATTCGAACACACGTACTGCGATTATTACAGGTAAGGTACGTAACTCTGCTTATAAACCTGTCACGGATATTGACCATTCTTTTTGGACGCTACATGTATTTGCGTCATAAGCTCCCGGTCTAAGTAAGTTTTACTTTTTGCTCGTAAGACCTGATAAGTTAGATAAGTTTGAACTTAGTGTTTCAGACGTCCCATGTTCTAAAACAAAAAGACAAGAGTTGAAAGTTTTTTATTATGAATGACGGAAATCAAACCAACTACAGTCCGTTTGACTCCAAATGAGAACGATGAATTGCAAAATAACTCGAAATCCAGAAAAGAGTATGAAACATCAATACGGTACTTGACCATGAATACCCTGTACCAAACAAAATCTGAATTTTGTTTATTTTAAGACCCATGACGGATGAAGTTCTTTAAGAAACTATCATGTAATTTTGTATAGAAATGTGTACATGACACGTAGGGGGGACAAACAAAGCACGCATGCACTGCACGTTCTGTGGTAGGGGAAATGACTGAGCGTTAGAGGGGCCGTCTCATGATAATTTCAGTCGCAATCTGACTCGCTCATGCCATAGATCTCGTCGTCGGAACTGCTGGTGCCTGAACCGACTGCCACTATTATAGGTTGGACTGTTGCTGGCCGTAGTCCAGCTCGTGACCAATAACGTGGCTCTATCTACTCAACGACTGTGGACACACACCGCCTCCATGTTTCTACTGTTACCCGACCAAGGGATTCCTTTACGAGTTGTTCAACGTCTCGTAATTTGAACGTTCTGTTCGATCGTCCAACGTCACCCTTGACGATGCCCCATACCAACTCGATTGGATTCAGGTCGCAGTGATAAGGTGGCAGTCGTAAGACAGCATGACCCTGACCCTTGATGTAACTGTAAACTTTATACACGGGGTCAGGTTTCATAGTTTTGATGATTTCATAGAGCTGTGGTTTCGTCGCTCGAGAAGAAAAGGTAATGTTCCTCCGTTGCAGCCAAGTAACCATGTCTCCTTTACGGTTATTAGAGGTTGGCGTCTTGCTTTCTGGATCCTGCACACTATGATACGGTGCATTGTCCATGATAAGACTTGGTAGGCAAAGCAGGGACTAATTTATCTTTCACCCACTCCAGAAATACATTGCCGTTCATTTCTGTGTGGTAGTCCCTGTTGTCTTTGGCCTTGGCTCTAAAGACGAGGTCACAGTCTGGGAGAAAACCCTGACTAGCAGAACCAGCATGGAGAACTATGAGTCTTTCACCCTTTCCCATTGGTAACTTTCTACCAGACTCCTTACAGTCACCACTGGGTACCCACTGACTGCTGGCTGTGTGTGATGCATTTACCCATGTCTCATCTAAGAAGACGGGCTCATATTCTTCTTCACGTTTCTGCTTGATGGTACGAAGGTAATGATTTCGGAGACGAACAATGTCAGACCGTTCACACAACACAGCCCTATTTTCTCCAGTTTTCTTTTTGTATTTGTAACCACATGTATGCAACAGCTGCCATAGTTTGTATTTTGTAACACGTAAATCATGGTCAGTTTCAAGGTGTTTCTTAGGGACAGGTACTTATTTTCTGAGTGCAGTTTAACAATTGCACGTCTGACTTGATCCCTCTGAAAACTGTCTAATTTATCAACCTTGCGTGGTTTTGACATGTTCCCTACCTCCTTGGCCTGACTCTTTGTATCTCGTCGACTAACAACATTTTTCAGTTTCTGAGGGGACATACCAAGAGCTTTTGAAGCTCGTTTCAAGAATGTATTAATTGCATAAAAAGGCTTTGCTCTTTCTGCTTCACTTCCATAGAAATCATACGCATTCAACATCAACTGTTTAACATCTGCTGAGTAGCGCATCTTGTCATTGAATGAACACGGTCACTGTAGCACGTGCAGACCGTGCTTCCGCTGTGCCTTCCACGGTTTGTCCCCCTACGTGTCATGTACACATTTCTATACAAAATTACATGATAGTTTCTTAAAGAACTTCATCCGTAATGGGTCTTAAATAAACAAAATTCAGATTTTGTTGGGTACAGGGTATTCATGGTCAAGTACCGTATTGATGTTTCATACTCTTTTCTGGATTTCGAGTTATTTTGCAATTCATCGTTCTCATTTGGAGTCAAACGAACTTTGTACCTCCAATTCAGAAGTCAGGGACTCTAACCAAAGTCCACAGATGCCATGTTTGGCGTATATCTCCTGGACAGATATATTTTACGAGTGTTTCCTTAGACAGTCGCGACTCAGTTTTATATACATGATGCATGTTTTAAACAAGTATTAACAAATGTTGTTTCGACAGTGTGTATAAGTAGGAGAAAGCACTTCTCGGTTTTTGTTGAAAATTGTAATAGCCCTCAAAACTTGTCATCATACCCTTCCCTCCCCACCGGATTTATCTATTTCATACTTCAGTGTGAAAGTTTTCTGAAATGTTACATTTTCATTGCAGTGAACATAACCCTTTGATGGAACTATTGTCATACAGGAGTTACCTTCCCGGAACTGTCCTCCCTTTATCGTATGTGTCTGGCCCGTACACAAACTGTTGACTTCCTTTTAAAGTTAGTTCCACTGTGACAAGGCAACATAGTGATAGGCCATTTATGGAGTTAATATCGCTTATTGCCCATCGTTATTCTCTTAAAAATGTTTCTATTTTTTTTTTTAAAACTCGGAACTACTTTTTTAAACCGCAGTTACAAGGGGTGGTGAAACGTCTCTGCGTGTTAGGTAGGGAGAATTTACGTTTCAAATTGTTATATTTGTAATAATTACTGCACAAAAAAGGATATAATAAACAGGATGTTCCGTGTGTCATGTTTCTATCGACACATGAAATATCCTCTATCTTCAACAAAAACCTCGATGGCAAATCTTTTCAGATATATAAATGTTTCGGCACCTCAGAAAACTGAGCCACCAATCCCCCGTACTAAGGGTGAATGCCCTACAGAATTGTGGCCCTAGCCACATCTGGATGAGCCAGCGGGCGGAACAACACACAGGACACACATCACTGATCATCATTCTGGACCTTCTGGGGAACTCCGTTCTCACCCGGTCTATGTGGCACCCGGTCTATGTGGCACCCGGTCTATGTGGCAACCTCTCTAGTAGCGCCTGTGCCAAGAGTGAGTGGGTTTGGTTTCACGCCGCTTTTAGAAATATTTCAGCAATATAACGGCGGGGGACACGGGTCTTCGGCATGACGAGCGAACACTTTAACCACAAGGCAACCCCACCGCCCGCCTATGTCAAGAACTGAGCTGGTGAACCACGAATGTCATGTATGACCTGATGTCAACACTGGTTCCTGATCACCAGACCCTGTCACTATGAAGTAGGTATGCATGCATAAAGAAAATAGTTACCTATGAGGACGTCCTTCTCCTCTCCCTTGTGGAAGTCCTTCACCATGTTGTAGACGAAGTCGTTTTCAGTCTTGCTGTGGACAGTCACCATGTTGCTGTCGCCCCTGTTGACAGAAGTGGGATAGAATGAAGAACACACGATTTTATGAAATTTCTATCATGTGTTCGTTGTCAAAACACTCAGGTCAACTAACTGAGGTTTTATTTGTCACTCCACAATATTCCAGCAATATCTTTGTAAAAAAAAGGGACCAGACAATCTAGCGTTTGACATCCTGCCACGGGCACTGTTTACTACAGGGGGACTTACTGGTTACACAGAGCGGCCACGGACACTGAATACTACAGGGGGACTTACTGGTTACACAGAGCAGCCACGGACATTGAATACTACAGGGGGACTTACTGGTTACACAGAGCAGCCACGGACACTGTTTACTACATCAGGACTTACTGGTTACACAGAGCAGCCACGGACATTGTTTAGTACAGGAGGACTTACTGGTTACACAGAGCAGCCACGGACACTGTTTACTACAGGGGGACTTACTGGTTACACAGAGCAACTACGGACACTGTTTAGTACAATAGAAGTTACTGGTTACACAGAGCAGCCACGGACACTGTTTACTACAGGGGGACTTACTGGTTACACAGAGCGGCCACGGAGACTGTTTACGACAGTAAACGTTACTGGTTAGACAGAGCGGCCACGGACACTGTTTACGACAGTAGAAGTTTCTGGTTACACAGAGCGGCCACGGACACTGTTTACTACAGCAGAAGTTACTGGTTACACAGAGAGGCCACGGAAACTTTACTACAGGAGGACTTACTGGTTACACAGAGCGGCCACGGAAACTTTACTACAGGAGGACTTACTGGTTACACAGAGAGGCCACGGAAACTTTACTACAGGAGGACTTACTGGTTACACAGAGCGGCCACGGAAACTTTACTACAGGAGGACTTACTGGTTACACAGAGAGGCCACGGAAACTTTACTACAGGAGGACTTACTGGTTACACAGAGAGGCCACGGAAACTTTACTACAGGAGGACTTACTGGTTACACAGAGAGGCCACGGGAACTTTACTACAGGAGGACTTACTGGTTACACAGAGCGGCCACGGTGTCGTAGTGGGACGCGGTCTTGCCGGTGTACAGGTAGCAGGAGCCTGCGTGTTTCTTCCAAGCTGTGGATTACCACAAAAACTGGGTCACGTGAATCAAACAGTGGACATACATGTATATTCACCATCGGTTTGGTTCAGTTTATATGGGTATCCTTAATGCACGTCTCCTCGTTCCAGGGATCTTCATGTTTTTGAAAGTACAGTGAACACGTACGGCCGATTAATGGCAAAAATCAAGCTAACATTTGTTTCGTATTTTGAACTAATGCGTTACTTTGTGTACACAAGGGTTAATAAATATGTTTTCGAAAAAAGGTTAGTTTCAGTAGCTCATAGCCTTCATAGTGAATAGAAAATACCCATTTTTGAACATTAAGAGTTTGCATCTACCTGAGGGACATTCGCTGGTAGATTTAGAAGATTCTGAAACAAACAAGGTACACAATGATGTCACGCGACAAGGATACACTCAGCCACTGGTTAATTTGGGAAACGTTGATCTATCTCTTTCTCAAAACAGTGTGAAAGGTGATTGAATAAGGCACTCTATAATTTACGATATGTGTGAAAATGTAATATATACTTCATACATATGTAAGCTGTACATCCATACAAAGAATTCTGAGCGACAAGGCAGTTGGTGTGACAAGGTGAATATTGTTCAACGCCACTCTCAACAATAGTCAAGCTACAGCACGACGGCCTAATAGTATCATAAATGTCCTGGACAGAAAACCAGGTGTTGATGGCACGAGCACCGAACTCACGCCTTGAGGTAAGTTAACATACAAACAAGGTCAACGCTTGTAGCCAACCAGTCATTATTTACCGTCTCTTTGCAGATGAGCTATATTTTTACCAAAAAGTAGAATATAAAGCTATATTTTTACCAAAAAGTAAAATATAAAGCTATGAGGGAAGGTATACCAACCAAGAAGACAAAGGGTGCCTTTCCTCGTTTTGCCAGAGGCGTGTTTCTTGTTGAACAAGGAGGTGAGTGTCAGCACTAGGAACACAAGAAAACATTCAAATATTCAGAATATCTAACGTTTATATGAGATACATTAAATCCAAATTCTATAATACCTCGTACACTTGCGACAAACTGGTAAATTACACTGGTGCATCCTGTTCATACCACCACCCGGCTCGTCCTCGTGTATGGTCACTATGGAAACACTTACATTGCATCCATAGCTACCACTGCTCAGCATTATTGAAGTACCCTAATATGTCCTCAACAAAGAGGTATCAACCAGCCGTGCATCTTTGCGTCTCCCTACCATAGAAAGTGTCCCGTCTTTTATCGCCGTCGACCTTGACAGCCTCGCCGGTCCAGTAGCTAATGTCGTCGCCAAACATCAGCAGCAGGTTGCGAATCTCACGCTTTAACATACACGATAACACTAATACTCTTGTAAAAACGGATTTATTGTTTGCACTACAATCGTAACATCACCAAGTTTGTATTTATCATTTAATGGATCATAAATTTGGCAAAACCGTTTAAATAATTTGCATCAATCATGAGTTTTCTTGAAATAATCAAATGTTATAATTACACAGCTGAATAGCCTATCATTGAAGCCAATATTGAATGGCATTGTTCCAAACCTGTGTGACGTCATCTGTGACGGTCGGAAGCACTCCCTGTCGAGTTAAACATTGGTACTCTGCTGTGTCGTAGTTAGTTTTGGTGTTGAGGATGAGGTAGCACTTGCCGTTACTGCCCAGTCTGTGTCCGGCACCGTTAGGTCCGCAGCTCTCTGGTTAAAGCGAAACAGCTTTACATGGGATCTTCACATTAATGTATGTACATGTAGACATATGTGCATGTCGATCACGAAACAGCTTTACATGGAATCTTCTCATTAATGTATGTACATATAGACATCTGTGCATGTCGATCACGAAACAGCTTTACATGGGATCTTCACATTAATGTATGTACATGTAGACATCTGTGCATGTCGATCACGTAACAGCCTTACATGGGATCTTCTCATTAATGTATGTACATGTAGACATCTGTGCATGTCGATCACGCAAAGGAATTATGGTAATTACTCTTCTCAATGCGGGCAACACTTCGCCTATGGAGGTTAAGCTTGTGTTTCTAATTATTAACGAATTACAATGAGATGAATGGGATGAATATTGTTTCATGACGTAAGAAAGAACCCGGCTCTATCACAGCCGGATGCAAATAATCTGGACAAGAGATCCCAATGAAAAGCAACGAAATGTCTGAGGAACAACCCATGGCAGAACTGCCTCACCAAATGATGTGGTTTGCTTGAGAGGGAGCTGACACAGGTAGCGGTATGCATCTCGCCAAGAACGGTCATCCCATCGGTAGCCATGTCTCACAACCATCGCTGCAATAACAGATGCATGTATAGAACATTGGAGGCTCGCGGCATGTACAGAACATTGGAGACTCGCGGCATGTACAGAACATTTGAGACTCGCGGCATTTATAGAACATAGGAGGCTCGCGGCATGTACAGAACATTGGTGGCTCGGGGCATGTACAGAACATTGGGGACTCGCGGCATGTACAGAACATTGGAGGCTCGCGGCATGTACAGAACATTGGAGGCTCGCGGCATGTACAGAACATTGGTGGCTCGGGGCATGTACAGAACATTGGAGGCTCGGGGCATGTACAGAACATTGGGGACTCGCGGCATGTACAGAACATTGGAGGCTCGCGGCATGTACAGAACATTGGAGGCTCGCGGCATGTACAGAACATTGGAGGCTCGCGGCATGTACAGAACATTGGAGGCTCGGGGCATGTACAGAACATTGCTGGCTTGCGGTGGCTCGCGGCATTTAAAGAACATTGTAGGCTTGCAGAGGCTCTTGGCATTTATAGAACATTGGAGGCTCACGGCATGTACAGAACATTGGAGGCTCGCGGTGGCTCTTGGCATTTATAGAACATTGGAGGCTCACGGCATGTACAGAACATTGGAGGCTTGCGGTGGCTCTTGGCATTTATAGAACATTGGAGGCTCTTGGCATTTATAGAACATTGGAGGCTCGCGGCATGTACAGAACATTGGCGGCTCGGGGCATGTACAGAACATTGCTGGCTTGCGGTGGCTCGCGGCATTTAAAGAACATTGTAGGCTTGCAGAGGCTCTTGGCATTTATAGAACATTGGAGGCTCACGGCATGTACAGAACATTTGAGGCTCGCGGTGGCTCTTGGCATTTATAGAACATTGGAGGCTCACGGCATGTACAGAACATTGGAGGCTCGCGGTGGCTCTTGGCATTTATAGAACATTGGAGGCTCACGGCATGTACAGAACATTGGAGGCTTGCGGTGGCTCTTGGCATTTATAGAACATTGGAGGCTCTTGGCATTTATAGAACATTGGAGGCTCGCGGCATGTACAGAACATTGCTGGCTTGCGGTGGCTCTTGGCATTTATAGAACATTGGAGGCTCGCAGCATGTACAGAACATTGGAGGCTCGCGGTGGCTCTTGGGATTTATAGAACATTGGAGGCTCTTGGCATTTATAGAACATTGGAGGCTCTTGGCATTTATAGAACATTGGAGGCTCGCAGCATGTACAGAACATTGGAGGCTCACGGTGGCTCTTGGCATTTATAGAACATTGGAGGCTCGCAGCATGTACAGAACATTGGAGGCTCACGGTGGCTCTTGGCATTTAAAGAACATTGGAGGCTCGCGGCATGTACAGAACATTGGTGGCTCGCTGCATGTACAGAACATTGGAGGCTCGCGGTGGCTCTTGGCATTTATAGAACATTGGTGGCTCGCGGCATGTACAGAACATTGGTGGCTCGTGGCATGTACAGAACATTGGAGGCTTGCAGAGGCTCTTGGCATTTATAGAACATTGGTGGCTCGCGGCATGTACAGAACATTGGTGGCTCGCGGCATGTACAGAACATTGTAGGCTTGCAGAGGCTCTTGGCATTTATAGAACATTGGAGGCTCGCAGCATGTACAGAACATTGGAGGCTCGCGGTGGCTCTTGGCATTTATAGAACATTGGAGGCTCGCGGCTTGTACAGAACATTGGAGGCTCGTGGCAGGTACAGAACAGTGGAGAACATTGGAGGCTCGCGGCTTGTACAGAACATTGGAGGCTTGCGGTGGCTCGCGGCATTTATAGAACATTGGAGGCTCGCGGCATGTACAGAACATTGGAGGCTTGCGGTGGCTCGCGGCATTTATAGAACATTGGAGGCTCACGGCATGTACAGAACATTGGAGGCTCGCGGTGGCTCTTGGCATTTATAGAACATTGGAGGCTCACGGCATGTACAGAACATTGGAGGCTTGCGGTGGCTCTTGGCATTTATAGAACATTGGAGGCTCTTGGCATTTATAGAACATTGGAGGCTCGCGGCATGTACAGAACATTGCTGGCTTGCGGTGGCTCTTGGCATTTATAGAACATTGGAGGCTCGCAGCATGTACAGAACATTGGAGGCTCGCGGTGGCTCTTGGGATTTATAGAACATTGGAGGCTCTTGGCATTTATAGAACATTGGAGGCTCTTGGCATTTATAGAACATTGGAGGCTCGCAGCATGTACAGAACATTGGAGGCTCACGGTGGCTCTTGGCATTTATAGAACATTGGAGGCTCGCAGCATGTACAGAACATTGGAGGCTCACGGTGGCTCTTGGCATTTAAAGAACATTGGAGGCTCGCGGCATGTACAGAACATTGGTGGCTCGCTGCATGTACAGAACATTGGAGGCTCGCGGTGGCTCTTGGCATTTATAGAACATTGGTGGCTCGCGGCATGTACAGAACATTGGTGGCTCGTGGCATGTACAGAACATTGGAGGCTTGCAGAGGCTCTTGGCATTTATAGAACATTGGTGGCTCGCGGCATGTACAGAACATTGGTGGCTCGCGGCATGTACAGAACATTGTAGGCTTGCAGAGGCTCTTGGCATTTATAGAACATTGGAGGCTCGCAGCATGTACAGAACATTGGAGGCTCGCGGTGGCTCTTGGCATTTATAGAACATTGGAGGCTCGCGGCTTGTACAGAACATTGGAGGCTCGTGGCAGGTACAGAACAGTGGAGAACATTGGAGGCTCGCGGCTTGTACAGAACATTGGAGGCTTGCGGTGGCTCGCGGCATTTATAGAACATTGGAGGCTCGCGGCATGTACAGAACATTGGAGGCTTGCGGTGGCTCGCGGCATTTATAGAACATTGGAGGCTCGCGGCATGTACAGAACATTGGAGGCTCGTGGCATGTACAGAACAGTGGAGAACATTGGAGGCTCGCGGCTTGTACAGAACATTGGAGGCTCGCGGCATGTACAGAACATTTGAGGCTCGCGGTGGCTCTTGGCATTTATAGAACATTGGAGGCTCACGGCATGTACAGAACATTGGAGGCTCGCGGTGGCTCTTGGCATTTATAGAACATTGGAGGCTCACGGCATGTACAGAACATTGGAGGCTTGCGGTGGCTCTTGGCATTTATAGAACATTGGAGGCTCTTGGCATTTATAGAACATTGGAGGCTCGCGGCATGTACAGAACATTGCTGGCTTGCGGTGGCTCTTGGCATTTATAGAACATTGGAGGCTCGCAGCATGTACAGAGTGAGTGAGTGAGTATGGTTTTACGCCGCTTTTAGCAATATTCCAGCAATATCACGGCGGGGGACACCAGAAATGGGCTTCACACATTGTACCCATGTCGGGAATCGAACCCGGGTCTTCGGCGTGACGAGCAAACGCTTTAACCACTAGGCTACCCGACCGCCCAGCATGTACAGAACATTGGAGGCTCGCGGTGGCTCTTGGGATTTATAGAACATTGGAGGCTCTTGGCATTTATAGAACATTGGAGGCTCTTGGCATTTATAGAACATTGGAGGCTCGCAGCATGTACAGAACATTGGAGGCTCACGGTGGCTCTTGGCATTTAAAGAACATTTGAGGCTCGCGGCATGTACAGAACATTGGTGGCTCGCTGCATGTACAGAACATTGGAGGCTCGCGGTGGCTCTTGGCATTTATAGAACATTGGTGGCTCGCGGCATGTACAGAACATTGGTGGCTCGTGGCATGTACAGAACATTGGAGGCTTGCAGAGGCTCTTGGCATTTATAGAACATTGGTGGCTCGCGGCATGTACAGAACATTGGTGGCTCGCGGCATGTACAGAACATTGTAGGCTTGCAGAGGCTCTTGGCATTTATAGAACATTGGAGGCTCGCAGCATGTACAGAACATTGGAGGCTCGCGGTGGCTCTTGGCATTTATAGAACATTGGAGGCTCGCGGCTTGTACAGAACATTGGAGGCTCGTGGCAGGTACAGAACAGTGGAGAACATTGGAGGCTCGCGGCTTGTACAGAACATTGGAGGCTTGCGGTGGCTCGCGGCATTTATAGAACATTGGAGGCTCGCGGCTTGTACAGAACATTGGAGGCTCGTGGCATGTACAGAACAGTGGAGAACATTGGAGGCTCGCGGCATGTACAGAACATTGGAGGCTCGCGGCATGTATAGAAGATTGGTGGCTTGCGGCATGTACAGAACATTGGAGGCTCGCGGCATGTACAGAGCATTGGAGGCTCGTGGCAGGTACAGAACGTTGGAGGCTCGCGGCATGTATAGAACATTGGAGGCTTGCGGTGCCTCGCGGTATTTATAGAACATTGGTGGCTCGCGGCATGTAATCACACATTGTACCCCATGAGGGTAGTCGAATCCGGGCCTTCGGCATGACGAGTGAACAGTTTAACAACGAGGCTACCCCACCGCCCTTACTCCCCCTTTAACTTACTAACGAAGTCGTCGTAGTGTCTAACTGCGTCGTGTTTGAGGTCCCCGTTGATGTATGTAGCCGGTGTGCCATCCATGAAGACAAATTCTCCTTCTTTAGCAACATCCGTCAGGCCAATCCAGATGTCAGATTCACTCTGACCCAGATAACCTCTGAACAGAGTCTGGGGAAAAAGAGAAAAGCATCATATACCGGATACAAACAAGTACACGGTGCCATGTATACTATAGCAGATGGCCTTTACTTACAGAATACCCGGGCTGGGCTTAAATACGGATTTTGCCTATATTCAGTGAGCAACATTTTATCCAAATTTAAGCCCAGGGTTTGAAAACGTGAAAGGACAAAAACAGGATAGGAAGAATGAATATCTCAAATTCAATGAAACAATACTCACAAATGGAATGAGAGCAATACTTTAACATGAGACATGTCCTTGAGTCAGGAACATGTACACAATTAAAATGAAGGCTATCAAAAAGGTAACAACAAAACAACATCTCAGTTATGCGTGTGTGTCATATGCGTTTAAAATGTCCCACTGAGTCTCCAGAATATCACCCACGTTAGGGGTCCAATGTGCCCTGTGAACGTGGAAACGTAACAGCGCTTAAGGTGCAATATAGGTGCAAATTGGCCACATAGAAGCGTGCGGCAACACGTGCTTCAAGCACGTGCGGTAAGGGAAATCAATCATTTTTTCAACTTACCTGAAGCCCATGGGCTCAACGTTTTATGTTGCCGTTTTAAAAGGTTATTGGCGAAATAGCGAGGGTCTTAAATACGTGCAGTCCCGGTATACACCAACCTTGAGGAGAGTGAGCCCTCTCACGTTAACCTTATAAACTGTACACTCACGTTGTGGAGGTAACCCATTGGAAAAAGCGTTGGCTCGTCACGCCGAAGACCCAGGTTCGAAGTCCATTTCTAGTGTCCGTGATATTGCTTGAATATTGATAAAAGCGGCGTAAAACCATATTCACACACCACGGTGTGTCCGTTTTCGACCTGGCATCGTGGATCGACGGAATATTTATAACCGGGTTATGCCAACCGACCACATATCCCAACCCGAGGAAGATGCACCCACCTGTTCAGCTGCTGAGGAGATCGTTGCCAGGTCACCGTTCATCCTGACGCAAGCGCGTTGAGCATTGATGAAGTTCAGTCGTTCGTCTCCAAAATAGTAACACTTCCCTCCCCATACCATACCACGTGACCCCGGGCCACAACTCGTCAGAGCTGTATTGTCATCTGATGAAACAGATATGAAACAGATATGAAACAGATATGAAACAGATATGAAACAGACAGCGATTGTACTTGTACTTGTTTGTTTGACTCAACATGCAGCAATACTCCAGACAAAAGGTTTAAATAATCGAGTCTAGACCAGACAGTCCTGTGATTGACATCGAGCCACGCAACTGGGATACGATGACATCCATTAACCAAGTCAGCAAGTCTGACCACCCGATCCCGTTAGTCGCCTCTTACGGGTGTCTGAGGAGATCAATGGCTGTAGTGGTTATCAGATACACTGGGGTTTTCCGTTTTGTTTGGATTGAATGAAAACATATGAAAGACAGAAAATTCAAAATACGTAAGCAGTCAGTACTTGATTGTTAAAAGTGGAAATACTTTTCTTGATTATCATCATTGAATCAATAATTATGGTCATATGTATGACCCTCCAACATGAAAAGTATAATACATATACGGTGTTTGGTGGTGGTAGTAGTTGTGGGGGTGGTAGCTAAACAAAGAGGACATCCATCCCATTACGGGTCATGTCAGAACGACCTTTCATCAGACCAATCCAAGCGTCGCTTACCAGATCATGCAACCTCGAAAACGTTAACACGGGGTATTCCGAACGACAGTTACGGCCCTTACGACGGATTCCGTCAAAATTATCGTCTCGCTTCCGTGGGATAAACATTTGAACGGAGAAGGCCTTGCACAGTACGTGGGAAGCATTGCCATACAATCGCAACGATATATAAGACATTCCGGAATGTTCGTTCGTTCAGTTTTCCAAATTTTAATCGAGAACTGCGTCAACATATTTTACAAGCGTAGTCTGAAATGGAAGTCGCCAAGTTGAAACGAGTGTCGTAAAGCTCGAGAAAGTTGCTTTCTAATTAGCTGATATCGACTTCTTGTCAGTCATTTCAGTGGTCGGTCAAAGTTCGCGTAAGGTCGTTCTGACGTGACCGTAATGGGATTTTAATAATATTGTTTCAAGGAAGGTCGATTAATGTCTGTGGACCATTATTTCTGTTAATCTTATTGATTCTGCCTATCATACGGTTGTGATTTACTTGATTTCATTCATTGTTTGTGTATAATCTAGCAATGCGGCGTCTGCAACGCGCGGAGCGTCTATGGGGTATTGACATGCTGGAAACTGGCACGTCAGCGTGAAGTGGCCAATACGTTCAATTTTTTCACTGTCTGTGATTGAAACAAAAACTAAGACATTATTCATTTACTAAGATGGAGGCTAATGTGTATCAAATGATTATATTATGTCGTTGAACCCAAGTACATGTTCAACCCAGTCCAGACTTGTCTAATGTGTATTAACAACACACTCACCTGCACTGGTGGTAAACACCTCATTCCTCCAGCCTCCCCCACAGAAACGTCCTGTTTTCGCGCTACACTCCTTGGTACAACCCTCACCAGAACCGTAGAGGCCAAAACTGTCACTACACCAACACTCATTGCTGTTTTGTAGGCCAGCATATCTGTAACCGTTCTGACCGCATCTCTGGACACAGAACCCCCTGGTCATGGATCTGTGGAGCCCTATTGTCATGTCACCCATGTCCCGCCGCCGTGTGTCAACAGCGCAGCCCCGGGACTGGCTGGGTAGCGGTGCAGGCGCTGAAACATTGAGTTAGTGAGTTGTTGCAGTGGTCGTCAGTACCGATACACTGTCTACTCCAGATGTAACAAACAAAGTGGACAATCTGTTCGTGGAAGACAAACGTTGCTGTTTACCTCAACAGTAAAGTTAAATGACGAATGTCGGGAGAAATTAGTTGGTTTCTCTACATCCGATTTCGGGACAACCGGAGTCGACAGTGTCGTAACCTGCAAGGATCTGAAAAACGCCATTAGGGTTTACAACAGGTACGTCGGTAGGAGTTGGAATATGATAGCATTCAGCACGACACTGCCAGACCAACTTCATGTGCTATTATGATTGAAGGCGAAAGCATTCACACGAGTAGTTTGTGTCGTATGAAGAACAGAAACGGACCAAACGTTTGTGTCAAATCAAGCGGTCGTTGATTGGATGCATTGGCTAGCCATCGACAGCCATCGGTACAACAGACGTGGTTGTGATGGGTACACAGACGTGGTTGTAATGTGTACACTAACCTGGCTGTGATGGGCATACTTACCTGGCTGTGATGGGCATACTTACCTGGCTGTGATGGGCATACTTACCTGGCTGTGATGGGCATACTTACCTGGCTGTGATGGGCATACTTACCTGGCTGTGATGGGCATACTAACCTGACTGATGGACAAACTAACCTGGCTGTGATGGCGTACTAACCTGGCTGTGATGGGCATACTAACCTGACTGATGGACAAACTAACCTGGCTGTGATGGGCGTACTAACCTGGCTGTGATGGGCATACTTACCTGGCTGTGATGGGCATACTTACCTGGCTGTGATGGGCATACTTACCTGGCTGTGATGGGCATACTTACCTGGCTGTGATGGGCATACTAACCTGACTGATGGACAAACTAACCTGGCTGTGATGTGCATACTAACCTGGCTGTAATGTGTATACAGACCTGGTTGTGATGGGCATACTAACCTGGCTGTAATGTGCATACTAACCTGGCTGTGATGTGCATACTAACCTGGCTGTAATGTGTATACAGACCTGGTTGTGATGGGCATACTAACCTGGCTGTAATGTGCATACTAACCTGGCTGTAATGTGTATACTAACCTGGTTGTGATGGGCATACTAACCTGGCTGTAATGTGCATACTAACCTGGATGTAATGTGTATACTAACCTGGCTGTAATGTGTATAATAACCTGGCTGTGATTGGCATACTAACCTGGCTGTAATGTGTATACAGACCTGGTTGTGATGGGCATACTAACCTGGCTGTAATGTGCATACTAACCTGGCTGTGATGTGCATACTAACCTGGCTGTAATGTGTATACAGACCTGGTTGTGATGGGCATACTAACCTGGCTGTAATGTGCATACTAACCTGGCTGTAATGTGTATACTAACCTGGTTGTGATGGGCATACTAACCTGGCTGTAATGTGCATACTAACCTGGATGTAATGTGTATACTAACCTGGCTGTAATGTGTATAATAACCTGGCTGTGATGGGTATACTAACCTGGCTGTAATGTGTATACAGACCTGGCTGTGATGGGCATACTTACCTGGCTGTGATTGGCATACTAACCTGACTGATGGACATACTAACCTTGCTGTGATGGCATACTAACCTGGTTGTGATGGGCATACTAACCTGGCTGTTATGTGCATACTAACCTGGCTGTGATGTGGTCATACTAACTTAGCTGTGATGGGCATGCTAACCTAGCTGTGATGGGCATGCTAACCTGGCTGTGATGGGCATGCTAACCTGGCTGTACTGTGTATACTAACCTGGCTGTAATGTGTATACTAACCTGGCTGTGATGGGTATACTAACCTGGCTGCGATTGGCATACTAACCTGGCTGTAATGTGTATACAGACCTGGCTGTGATGGGCATAGTAACCTGGCTGTAATGTGTATACTAACCTGGCTGTAATGTGTATACAGACCTGGCTGTAATGTGTATACAGACCTGGCTGTAATGTTTATACAGACCTGGTTGTAATGGGCATACTTACCTGGCTGTTGTGAGCATACTAACCTGGCTGTGAAAGAGGTGGGCAGTGATCCTCTCCCCTGGCAGTACTAAGAGCAACTGTGGCAGGTCGGGTCTCTCCTGCGCCCAAACCCTGATTCAGATAAGATAAGATAAGTAATGACTTCATTATACCAAGGGAAATTCATATTGCCCAGTTAATTAACACTCCTTCCATAAACAAGAATTTATGTTTTGATAAAAAAATAACGCTTACAACGAACTCCCGCACAAAAGCCATTAACTATCAATTATACATTACATTCAGGCGTTTACAGTGTGCTGCCTTTCACCGATATACACTTGTATAATACACACTGACCTGGGACGAAGCTTTAGCACAAGCGGGCAGCTCAAAGTCTTCACCAGCTACCTAAAACACAAGGCACATTAAGAGCTGAATTGCAGTTACAAGCAACGACCAAGTCAGCTAGCCTGACCACCCGATCCAGTTAGCCGCCTCTTCCGACAAGCATAATCGCCTTTTACGGCAAACTTGAGTTGCTGAAGACCTAATCTACCCCGGATTTTCACGGGTCACGAATTAAAGATGAACTAAGTAACATGTTATAGATACGAGTATATTATATAAATATGTCAGTATGTCGGAGGACTGATATCCTCTATTGCATGGATTTGAAGGCGTGTAAAGCACTTTGTGTCTCTTGGTAGTTCACATGTATCACCACACTGGAGGAATCCAGGTGATGCAGGTCTTAGACAGCTGGGTTACAGTGTTGACAAACGATGATAACCAGGGTGAATATGGTATTCGAACCCAGGATCAAACAATTGAAGGCCGCCTGCAGAGCCGGCACCTCAGACGACTGAACTGGGGAAAGGTCAAGGTCTCACAGGTCAGAGTTTATTACTTTGGTGAAACAAGAGGTATCATAATGTGAACCGCAAGAGAATGACACAACCAAGGGAGAGAATGACACAACCAAGGGAGATAATGACACAACCAAGGGAGATAATGACACAACCAAGGGAGATAATGACAACCAAGGGAGATAATTCTCCCCAATGAAATGCGAAGCCAAGAGTTTGGGGTCGTTTCGCTCCCATAAATATGAAAACTGCAAACCCTTACTCCTTAACATTGATACAATTATAATATAATTAAAACATACAGTCTCGTATCAATAAAATCATAGACAATCTTGACAATTTAATGTTACAGTGTTACCACCTGCCCCGATCGAAACCGCCTCCGTGGTCTAGTGGTAGAGCGCCCGCCATGCAGGAGAACAGAAGGTTGGGCGCACGATCTTCGGCTGCGTCATACCAAAATACCTTAAAAGGTGGTACTTGTTTTTACCTTGGGGTTAAAACAAGAACTGGATGGCTCGGAGTCAGTATACTGGGTCGCCCAGCCAGACCACCCAGGTTTTTGTTAACTGGGAACATGTTCTTGGAAACTGAGTTTGTTCCTCACCTCTGGTTGTTTGACGTAAGGGCCGTATGCTGTTTTCCGACAGTCTGCAGTGTTGCGTCCGTTTCGCCTGACTATACGGAAGTTTGGACACTTTCCATTGGGACATAGCATCTGTCTGTCAGCTCGTGTCTCGTTTGACATCAGCTTCACGAAGATCATGCTAAAGATAATAACAGTAAGACTGAATGACGACCAAGCAAGTCAATAGAAGGTTGTCAAATTAGGTTAGATAGCTTGTCAGTTAAAAAAATTAGGAAACCTCAAAATGATCACCGCGGTAACCAATTTGACGAAACCCAGGATAAACCCGAACGCATTATTAGGATTCGAACCCAAATAAAGTCGGATTCGAACAGATCTTTACAAAAGTAGAGTAGCACGAATTTCGGCAATTTAATTTGGCCATATTATTTTGTAAAATTTGTAAATCTTATACATACCCAATTTTTTTGTCCCAGAAGTAGGCCATACCGGATGTGTCGGCATCCAGTTCCTTTATAGTGGCGACCTTTACCGGTCGCCTACGTCTGTTGTACCTGGGGTACGAGCTGGTTAGTGCAAATTTCGTCATGTCTTTAGGCACGCATACGCCGACACGAACAGAATCACCTCTGAAAGAATGAGCTTCACAAAGTCCACATGTTTTAGGAATTTCACTAGTGTTTCCGAGCGAAAGCGTTAACTGATAGGCCTCTGGGACCTGATTATTCTTGAAAAGAATAACTGCTCCAGGCCTTGAAAAAACAATTGCCTGCCACAAAAATAGAATTGTTGGAAGGTGTTTTTCTGGCAAAATTTCATGTTTATTGTTATAAAAAAAAACATATCTGCTGAAGCAAACATAATATCTTTTCTCGATACCAATCCCGTAGTACAGCTAGATGAGAGTTTACATTCGCACATACACTGACTACATAGCATAAATATCAGCTCGTTCAAATTCAACATTCCAAATTCTAATACTTATCCGCTGAACTCAGATTTTTAAACTTCACCTCCTCCTGAGTGTTGCATTACAGCATTAATTCATGGACATTCAAACACGTGACACGCTGTTGGCGTTTGACATCAACCACTATAACTACTTACCTCTCCATGTTTAATGCGTGCATCTTGAACACCCTTGGGACCTTGGTTTTGAAATGGACGGTGTAGGTCTTGTTTACGATGAAGTGATATCCTCGGCCCTGGTTTACTGAAGTCAATTTACATACTCATATTATGGGCACAGTGACTTAAGGTTATCCGTTGTCTTAACTGTCAGAAATACCCCTCATATGAAAAGGAAGGAGTCCACATTGTGTCAGTACCTTGTCCAGCTCGACCTGTAGTGACAGGATGTCGATATTACTCCAAAATACAGGCCTACAATACTACAATCGTCCACGCAATTATATGGATAAAAACAATATTTACAACTTAAATAATTTTCTCGATTTGATTTGCAGGTTGAGGAAGGGCAAGATTCAGTATATTTTAGTAAAACGAAGTGAGACTTACATGCCAAGGAGAATGTGTGCGCGTGGGCGTCATCTCGGACGAAGTACAAAGGTTTATGGTCGCGGGGGACCTTGAGGCGGGCGATCACGAAAATCTGTACGGACAATGTCATACACACAAAGTATTACGAACAGAATAGCCTCACACGATAACACGCGTAAACCCCATGTTTTGTGTTTCATTACAGTAAATCTACGAAAGAAAATATTGTCGGAATGACACCCTTTGACACTTGTTGGCAGTTATAGCGGAGTAGATAGAAAACAATTCCAATCGTCAACTTACGAAGGTGTAGAAGATGCTGTGTTCGATTTGCTTAAAGCTGTACTTATTGAAAACGTTCCACTGTGTTGTCCCTTCATAATTTCTAAGGCAAACGAATTTGCTGAGAGGCAATGACACTGACTAGTGCAAATACCGGCTGGTTTGAGGGATTTAGGAAGAGGTGTGGCATATGTTCTAAACCAACCCATGGCGAGAGTGCATCAGTTGACCCTGAGCTCAATCTCATTTAAATCAGATCTTTGTTCTCGCTACGCTAAACAAAAATCTGAGGACATCCCATTAAGGGTCACGTCAGAACGACCATTGATATGTGCGATAATCCAGTCATATTTGGCACAGGAAAGTGGTCTTGATGTGTCAAGGGTGATCAGGGGTGTCAAGGGTGATCAGGGGTGTCAAGGGTGATCAGGGGTGTCAAGACTGATAAAACGGATAAAAAGGCTAGTGGACGCTCTTGCCTCGGGAAGATGGAGGTCTAAAGAACGCATTACTCTTCTGGTGGCTGCAAATATGACGGACTGAAAAACGAAAGCTTTAAATGATCAGTATTTCCGTGAAACCAAGGTGTTTCACGAATGTTCGAAGTTTGCCGGCTGACTACAAATTCAACTCCAAAGCCTGGATGCAAAGTGAAATCTTCCGCGAATGGGTGATTCAATCAGCCAAGTCCATGAAGAGACAAGAGAAACATCCTGCTTCTGGCAGACCGCTGCCCCGCCCGACCACGTGTCCCAAACTTGACAAATATCAGGCTTGCCTTCCTGACACCAAACAAAACATCCAAGATTCAACCCATGGACCAAGGTAACGTAGCCAACCTGAAGATCAACTACAACGGGGATATGGTGAGCAGCACGACCAAAGTCCATGACAACAAACAAGAACACGTGGTACCCGTCCTGACAGCAATCAACACGATTCATCGAGCGTGGCGTCACGTGACAGCTCAGTGCATTGCTACAGTGAACTACCTGATGAAGTTACTGTGCCCTTGTCGAGTTTGTGTGTCCGGAGTGAAAACAGCGACTGATATCCCACACGATGTGACCCTGGATGACTATTTGGCAGCCAATGACGACATCACAGCCGAGCGACCAACAGAAGACAACATCGTCAGCAAAGTTAAACACACTGAAAACACCGGCCCTTCTGACTACGATAATCAACTTGAGACAGAACCACCGAACAAATGTGAACTTCTCACACCATCTGAAAAGGCCACGCAATTACACGCCATTCGTCGGTTCTTTCCGCGTCGCCCTGGCGTAACACGGAAAGTGCTTGATAACATTGATGACATTGAGACAATACTGGACCAAATCTGTCTTTCAACAAAGCAAAATCAGACTTCCTGAATGAAGGCAAATGACTCTTGTATATGTATGTCAATGAAACCTGTTTTTATTTATGTTGCATATGATTAATAAACATAGTACATGTACAGTGCACGCTTTCGTTATTTATCAAGTAACATGGTGTAGTCACATGACTTGATCCAAGATGTAAGTCGAAATGCCTTTAACGAACGACGGATATAACGAACTACGATTAGTGGCCCCTTTGGACGCAATAATCATAAGTAGACGAAGGAATAAATTAATTGTAGCATCTTTATCAGACAAACCCGTGGTTGACAGCATGAGCAACGATGAACTCTACCCGACACAGAGTCAAAAATTGATCTCTCAAAACAATAAAAGTAGAATCCATATGGGGTTTTCATGGATAATCTTTGAGATACATTTCTAAAGTAATGTTTGTAAATATAGCGAGCGTCTTTTAAAATTCTAACATATAATCTATATGGAAATACATGTTAACAGAAGAGGGCGGGCAGTTTGGCATTCTGAGAGCAGATGAGGGCTGAATGCGACCGATTTGTGTTATATGAGAGTGTAGTTTATTGTTAAACAGTGATTGTAATTGCGTTACAATGTTTCTGTTAAGATTCCGAAGACGCGCATTGCAATGTGTTTGGACAGTGATCAATTGTCAGGAAGTTACTGTATTCAGATGCTGGCGTGGCGTGGTCCTGTATACCGAGGACGGCGATAGTATTTCATACAAATTTCTTGAAACTTATTGGTAGCGACTGCTCACCTTCACGTATTTGTAAGGACATACGGCCATGCCCCAGTTGTCCCTCACAGAACACTTGGGTGTGGTAAAGAACGGGTTGTTCTTGACGACCTGCGAGTTGATCATGCCCGTCACGCTACCGTCAACGTCGTGAATCGATGTTAGTTGTTTCCCCTCACCGTCTCTTCCAAATCCTGGTGTGGTCTTGTTGCCGTCGAAGACTCTGTTGCCTTCAGTCTGTTGGAAGAGCATGTTGATATGCGAAATAAAGCAGGGTGGTAGCTGATATATAGTATACACGCTTATTTCAGGGACATAAGAATGTACTACATACATTAACCGATGCAACATGCCGTGTGTTACACACATTAACCGATGCAACATGCCGTGTGCTACACACATTAACCGATGCAACATGCCGTGTGCTACACACATTAACCGATGCAACATGACGTGTGCTACACACATTAACCGATGCAACATGCCGTGTGTTACACACATTAACCGATGCAACATGCCGTGTGCTACACACATTAACCGATGCAACATGCCGTGTGCTACACACATTAACCGATGCAACATGCCGTGTGCTACACACATTAACCGATGCAACATGCCGTGTGCTACACACATTAACCGATGCAACATGACGTGTGCTACACACATTAACCGATGCAACATGACGTGTGCTACACACATTAACCGATGCAACTGCATCGTATCCCATTTGCGTAGATCGATGCTCATGTCAGTCACTTGATTGTCTGGTGCAAACTATTATTTACAGACCGCTGTCATATAGCAGGAATATTGCTGAGTACGGCGTTAAAGAACAAACGAACAAATAAACAACCTATCCAACATGCCGCGTGCTACACACATTTAGCTGTGCAACATGCCGCGTGCTAGACACATTTAGCTGTGCAACATGCCGCGTGCTACACACATTTAGCTGTGCAACATGCCGCGTGCTAGACACATTTAGCTGTGCAACATGCCGCGTGCTAGACACATTTAGCTGTGCAACATGCCGCGTGCTAGACACATTTAGCTGTGCAACATGCCGCGTGCTACACACATTTAGCTGTGCAACATGCCGCGTGCTACACACATTTAGCTGTGCAACATGCCGCGTGCTAGACACATTTAGCTGTGAAACATGCCGCGTGCTACACACATTTAGCTGTGCTACTCGTACACATTTAGCTGTGCAACATGCCGCGTGCTACACACATTTAGCTGTGCAACATGCCGCGTGCTACACACATTTAGCTGTGCAACATGCCGCGTGCTAGACACATTTAGCTGTGCAACATGCCACGTGCTAGACATTTAGCTGTGCAACATGCCACGTGCTAGACATTTAGCTGTGCAACATGCCACGTGCTAGACATTTAGCTGTGCAACATGCCACGTGCTAGACATTTAGCTGTGCAACATGACGTCGGCGACACAAGCATGTGCTACACTCATTTAGCTTTGCCACATGATGTCGAATGTTGTTTAACGCCGCACTCAGCAACATTCTAGCTATGTGAAGGCGGACTGTAAATCGAGTCTGGACCAGACAATCCAGCGGTTGACGTCAGTCTATAGTCCCCGCCACTTCAAATAGAATCACGAAATATCGCGATGATTAATTAAAGAAATCGGCTGCTTGTATATTTAAATACGTATAACGTGAAAACAAGCGATTCCGTCGATAAAGAATATGGAAGAGATGTTGTGGATTTATGTAAATAGCAGTGCCCCCCGGCCTCCGTCCATTACATTTTACTCCGGAACGTTGTGGTCCTCATAATAACAAAGGACAAAAATTGCAAAGTGCGCTTCTCAAGATATATTCACCTTTTCCTCTTTGTGCTCATTGTAATTCCTGCATTCTGATTAGCTGAAATCGCCACGTGTTATTGCATTCATTACACAATAGCCCCGCCCAACGAAGCGGGCTACTTTCACCATTAATACGAAATGTCGGGGAATCCCATTTAGAGAATTCCCTTTCTACTTACCTGTATCATGCACAGGACCTTTCAGCGAAATTCATGCATTTTCATCGCCCAAAACCCTGGCGAGGCCAAAGGCCGAGAAGAAATGAAACGGCAAACGACGAAAAAATGCAGGCCCGCTCGTTTGTGGCTCGCCTTGTTTTTTTATATCATGTCTTCGGGTTTCATTTCTAAACCGTATTTTCCAAATGTGTCTTCCGTTCTCAGGGAACTAATATTTGAATCTGTCGGTCACTGACCATGTCATTTGAAACAGGGGCATTCTCCCGTACATATTGTTCCGGTTCGTTAAGTCTGACTTTTGCAGTTCTTCTCGAACTTTGTTTTGATCCTATTCTCCGTATATTGTTTAATTTATGCACATATCAGTAGCCAATCATCCGATTCATATCACGCTAGAAAGTGTATTCCTGCGCCTGCGCATGTTTTGTCTGCCTTGATTTATATAATTGTTTTTATATTAAACTATTGGCGACAACATATGTTTTCGTTTTCGAATTTAAGTACAAGGATTGACTGGGTTTTTTTAATTCCCTTATGAACCTAATTACAGTCATTCCTACTTTCGTGGCGATAAACATCATAATTGAGTTTTTATCGCGTGGCTACAACCCGGGGAAGAGTGGACAGTCAGGTTACTGCGAGCGGTTATATTTAGCAGTGACCATGGGCAATAGGACTTAAAATTATTCATCTGCAAATGTTTTTCTTTCGGTTCGTACTGATAATGTACGTACGCTGTACACGATCTAAATATAGTCGCCCGCAGTCACCTGACTGCCAATCCTCGGTGGGATTGTAGCCACGTGATTAAAACTCAGTGATGTTTATCGCTAAGAACATGAACATTTCTTGAAAAGCTCACTTTGCAATTTTTGTCATAACTGTAGGTATTATTCCCTATCAGCGGTATCATCGCGATATGGTGTGATTATATTTCAAGTGGCGAGTACCGGGTTCGATTTCCCACTGGGTACAATATGTGAAGCCCGTTTCTGGTGTCCCCTGCTGTGATATTGCTGGACAAGTGCTGGAATAATGCTGGAATAGTGCTGGAATAGTGCTAGAAGTAGGGTAAGACCACAGTCACTCATTCTCCGGAGAACCAGATAAGGACAGTACAAACACTTAGAAAGAAAATCACCTTGAGCCACACAAAGGTGCTGATATTAAGACTTATCTCGAAGAAACGGGCATGTATGTGTGGATTTGATGTCAGAAATGCCCTTTACTTGCAAATGTAAGAAAGGAAAAAGGCTAGTTTATCAACCAATTTATCATGACTGGTACCGAAAACTTTACAATACTGGTAGGAAATGTAACTTTGAAATTTGTCACTTCCCTAGAACTATCCCTCCTGTCCTTTGCTGAGAACAAACTATAAAATCATAGATATTTCCTTATTTCCAGCAAATATGCGAGGAAAACTACCTTTTTTATAAAAAAGTCCAAATTTCAGGCCAAACAGGGTTCTTCTTGGAACGAAAAAATAACCTACCTTGTCACAGAATCCAAACTTAAGACCGGACACAGTGCTTCTCGGATTGAAGACGGGCATGTTGGTTCTCCTGAAGCCAAGAGCTCCACCAGTTCGATACCCAGGGACTTTGAAGACGCTGTCCCACGTGGAGTTCCAGTGCCAGTTGTAGAAGTCGTTGAAGTAGCAGTCGGTGACGTAGCTTGGGCCTCTGTAGAAGACGAAGCCTTGCAGGGGATCAGTTCTGGGGAGAGTATATTGTATCAATGCTTACATCATACTATCAAACATTAGGCAGTTTGTAGTAGGGTTTGACGACAGCTGTGGATTAAGTAACAACGGTGTCCCACGCTATCCGAAGCTAGGTGGCCCTGAACATTGCCGAGCCTCTTCTAACCCGAAATTACCCAGCCAATCTTTCACGTCCTACCACTGCCGTCGTCGAGGGTTAAAATTCTGAAGATATTGTAAAACTATTTTACGATCAAATGTCCATTAGCAGGGCCTATTTAGGTTTTCTTTTAATACCTATACCTTTGTTTAACGCTACAATCTGCAATATGCGAGCTGTACGGCGTCAGCCTGTGAGCAATCGACTCTAGACCAGAGCACCCACGCCGTCATCTTCCCGAGGCAAGAGAGTTAACGGACTTTAAAAGCCCAGTTTCCACCCTTGCCGAACTTGCCTGGGATTCCTGGGCTCGATCGTAGCGCCACCTATGGCTATTACGAGTTATGTCCCTTCCATGCCTCTCTTTCCACCTCTCGTATTACTTGCATTTGCTTCAAACAAAATGGCGGCGCCCAGACAATGCGATATGATCGATAATCAAGATCTATATTGTGATAAAACGAGTCTTACATCGCGAAGTGCATCAAATCACGTGAGCACCTTGATTAAAAACGTGATAAGATTTAGAAAATATCTGTTGACAACGAGTTGGTGGTGCACATGCTTTGCAAATACTGCCATGGACCGAAATCTGCATGACAGTTTACGAACCAGATTTCGATTTCGTTGCGCGATTTTGATTGGAGTATGCATAGACTCGTTAGTCCAGCCAAAATGTAACTCCATAATACCAGCCTAGTTCGGCAAGGGTGAAAACTGGACTTGTAGTCAGTTAAATTCCTTGCCTCGGGAAGATGCCACGCCGTCCCTGTCTGACCCTGCATACACAGGGGGTAAAGTATCTTTAATATACCGCTGTTGCATGACGCATTACGTATTTCAAAAACCTTACGGCCTCGAACTTAATGATCTGTCAAACTTGTGAACTGGTTTCACCCGTCCCGGGACATTCCGCTGACGGTAGGTCTTCCCTACTCCCTTGTTGTCAGACATTCCAATAAATACTGAGTTCTTCACTTCGTTGAAGCGATTTCCTCTTGACATGGGCATACTGAGGCCACGCTGAGAATCGGCAATGCTGCAGAAGAAGAATGTTGCATCTAAACCAAACAATACAAAACACAGGGCGAAAGCGCGACTGGTGACAATCGCGGCTTCATTATTCCCCACATCACTATTTGATTCAATGTACTTTGTACACATAGAATACTGTGCAACCAGCATTGGCGACAGCCCCTAGAGATGAAATTGTGAACGTGTAAGCGCCGTTTTGAACAGTATGTTTTAATAACAGCCGTTCAACGTTGGTGTACAACTTACAAGCACGCGTGTGGTGCTGACAAACTAAGGAATATGATTGGGGTAATTGTAGGATTCGATCCTATGACCTTTTGATCCTGGTAAACGAACAACTCCCCACGGCGACATGAAGCAATTTATGTTTATCAAGGCTGCCATCCAGGATCCTAAAACAGCGCCGAACCTCAACACGTTTATATGTTCATCGTTGCTCTTAATGTGAAGGGGAGATGTCTGTTACCGAGTGCCTGTGAGTTATTGTGGTCTCACCTACAGTTGACCAGGGTGATACCCGGGCTATTGTGGTCTTACCTGCAGTTGACCAGGGTGATACCATGGCTATTGTGGTCTTACCTGCAGTTGACCAGGGTGATACCCGGGCTATTGTGGTCTTACCTGCAGTTGACCAGGGTGATACCATGGCTATTGTGGTCTCACCTGCAGTTGACCAGGGTGATACCCGGGCTATTGTGGTCTCACCTGCAGTTGACCAGGGTGATGCCCTGGCTATTGTGGTCTCACCTGCAGTTGACCAGGGTGATACCCGGGCTATTGTGGTCTTACCTGAAGTTGACCAGGGTGATACCCGGGCTATTGTGGTCTTACCTGCAGTTGACCAGGGTGATACCCGGGCTATTGTGGTCTTACCTGCAGTTGACCAGGGTGATACCCGGGCTATTGTGGTCTTACCTACAGTTGACCAGGGTGATACCCGGGCTATTGTGGTCTTACCTACAGTTGACCAGGGTGATACCCGGGCTATTGTGGTCTTACCTGCATTTGACCAGGATGATACCCGGGCTATTGTGGTCTCACCTGCAGTTGACCAGGGTGATACCCGGGCTATTGTGGTCTCACCTGCAGTTGACCAGGGTGATACCCTGGCTATTGTGGTCTTACCTGCAGTTGACCAGGGTGATACCATTGCTATTTTGTGGTCTTATCTACAGTTGACCAGGGTGATACCATGGCTATTGTGGTCTTACCTGCAGTTGACCAGGGTGATACCCTGGCTATTGTGGTCTTACCTGCAGTTGACCAGGGTGATACCATGGCTATTGTGGTCTTACCTACAGTTGACCAGGGTGATACCCTGGCTATTGTGGTCTTACCTACAGTTGACCAGGGTGATACTCGGCTATTGTGGTCTTACCTGCAGTTGACCAGGATGGTGTTTGCAGCTCTCAACCAGACGTTCTCTACTCTGTTCTTGTACACGGTAAGTCTGAATGGAAAAGATAATAGTTCGATTTTATCATTTTTAAAAAAAGGAGTTACTAGCCAGAGAATAGGAACATGTTAAAATTTGATTGCTGATTTACAAGCGACTCCCGAATGTGGGAGAACACCAGAGGGTATACCTGTTAATTGTGGTTGTGACTGGCTTTCCTTTAGAATTACTTGGCCGCCTCGGGTCGTACTTGATGGAACCGAATCGTGCATTCTCTGGGATGAACCTTTTACCTTCCCAGTGACCGTTTGAGATTCTGTTCTCGAACATCAGACCTCTCTGCAAAGTTATGCGCGCCATTATTTAACAACAAATGCTATAATATCGCGTATTGAGAACAGTACCTAGAAATGTAACCGGTAATATAACTCTGCAGGTAGTGTGTAGGGAGTGTTTTGAAACGTTTACAAAGTATTTGTTTTTATAAAACATGTACGTACTGATGGAAATGAATAAGGGAACACTTAGTTTTAGACACAGTGAAGTCATTTGCTGTCATGGATTCCCAGCCTTTTCCACCAAATACGTATTGCAAACAATGCACACAAATTCATTTCAACACTGACGCGCGTGCATGCGTCTGCTTGTACAATTCCGGACTTATGCCAATTTTATAGTGCTGGCCCATTTGATACCATGTTGCAGTTTAACATGAATAACCCACTCAAACACAGTATACGGACTCTTGGCCGACCAGTCCTTGTTTTAGACCCTTATTGGCGAGCTTTTTAATGACGCGGCCGGGGATCGAAACCCGGACCTTTCTGTCTGTGGGTGGACGCTCTACCACTGGACCACGGAAGCGGTCGTGAAAATATGATATGATTATATAAGTATATAAACAATGCCATTCAAACGCTAATTACAGCCTGTGAACTGTCACTGGGGTCAAGACAAGAGTTCTACACACTTAGGTCATCAATGATCACACCTGCAAGTCCAGACAGACGCCACCCACGCAACACGGTGTCATTGTTTTTTGCGACTGCGTCAAAGGCCGACACGAGCCGACACGAGCCAGCGTGCATGTATTGTTTAAGCGGAAGTACTCTAATCGGTGCTATTCGGTGTGTGATTGGATTAATGTAAGGTGAGGATTCTTCTGTAAACATGACAGAGGACATTTTCTTTATATATAAATCCACTGATGCTTGAGAGGAGGGGCTAATACAAAAACTACAAAAAATATGACCCAAAGGTCAAATAATAAACTACATCCAGGACTTCCTAAACAATCGTAAAATAACCGTGGGTATAGACCAAACTCTATCGGACCAATGTCCCCTGGAAAATGGCACTCCCCAGGGCAGTATCCTCAGCCCCACACTCTTGAATATAATGATAAATGATCTATTCGAGGGCCTATCCCCTAAAATAAACACATCTAAATTCGCGGATGATGGAGCCCTCTGGATCCGCACAAAAAGCATTAAAATGGCCCCAAACCTACTTCAAAAATCTCTAAACAAAATACAGCAATGGGCTGACAAATGGGGCTTCTCCCTTAACTCGGAAAAAACTACAGGAATAGTATTTAAACACAAAAAAATGAAACCCGCCTCCCCAAAACTCCATCAAAACAACAAACCAATCCAATTCCTAAAACAAACCAAATTCTTAGGACTAATTTTCGATGAACATCTCTCCTGGGACGCTCACATAAATAATCTAATAAAACAATCTTAAACAAAACTGTAAAAAAATCAAATATCTTCACCCCAAAACGTAAAACACCCAAAATAGACATAAAACTAGCAAGCACAATAAATGAACAAACCGACCCAAACAGCAAAAACCACCACACTAGCATACATACATGAAAATTGGCCAAATTGGTGTCACATTTACACAGGCGGATCCTCAGATCCGATCTCCAAACACACAAGTTTCGGAGTCCACATCACACAACCAACTAAAGCCACACAATCCTACCAACTCCCAAACAATCAATCAATATTCACGGCCGAAATAATGGGCATGGCCTCAGCCCTTCATAATCAACAATCTAAAAAACAAAAAATCCTAATACTTACCGACTCGCTCAGTGGACTACAAGCCCTCCAAAATAATCCACCAAAAACCGCCCAGAACAAATAAATCAAATACTAAAATGCTCAAACGATTTAACTAAGGCAGGCAAACAAATAGCATTAATTTGGATCCCCGCCCACGTAGGGATATACGGCAATGAAAATGCCGATAAAGCAGCTAAACTCTCCCTTAAAATCCCAGAAATAAGCTTAAATGTACCCATCTCCAAATCAGAAATTAAAAGTGTCAACAAACAAAAAATCACCAAAAAATGGCATAACATATCTAAACTTAAATAACCAAATCAAAAAGGTTCTAACAAAAACCTGACCAAACCAAAAATTCTACATCCGTCCAAACAAATCGACAGAGTAATCACTAAACTCCAAACAGGACATACCAACCTAAACAAACCACTTCAAAATAATTTAAAAAATACGCAACAGGAGCCTGCCCACACTGCAAACAACAAGAAACCCCGGAACACGCACTCATCCACTGCACCCACTACCTAACACACCGAACCACACTACAAACCACCCTAAATCTAAATAAGGCTCTTACTCTAGAAGCAATCCTAAACCCACAAAATAAAATAGAAAAATTCAAAGCCTTAGGCGTATACTTAATCAAACCAGGACTAATAAATCGCATTTAAAACCCCAATAAACTACCAAAACCAAACCACATAATCAAACTAACAAACTTTCATACTCAGCTCCCTTAGTTTCCCCCCACTCCCCACTCCCCACTCCCCACTCCATCACTCCCCACTCCCCATATATGGACATGCCCCTCATGAAACGAAAGTTTATCTTCAACTGATAAAGATAGATACGATAAGGAGTATATTGTGTCGAACTAACGGTTATCTAGAAGTAAAAGCATGATCCCTGCGTTCATCATTTTCGGTTGTGTCGAACCTCGGATAAATGGAAATGTTTACGTAGGTCCCTTCGACTTAGCGGTGTTTGACTGTAATAACATTAATGTCTGCCATCACCCACCTCGTGATTGGAGTGAGCCACGTTGTTATTGAACTCCAGGATGGGTGTGTGTCTGGTGCTGAACTTCGTGACAGCTGGTTGGTTGTTGGCCAGTTTCTCAGCTTGACGGGCAGCTGATGGTCCGAGGGGGCTGTCGGCGTAGTTGAGCCAGAATCCAGCGTTCTTGACATAAAAAAGCAAACCGATCTTGAAGCTCACAAAGTTCTTCTTTCGTAGAGGATATTCAGCCTTGCAAGATGTAATATAGTCAAAAACGGATTGTCCAAAATTGTGCCTTTACCAGATCAAGATCAGTATTCGGATTTATGTATTAGAATTAATCTTCCAAAACAAGCATATTCTGTTGAATCTTTGAATCCATGTCTAAAATTGTTAGACCATGTGAACCATCTTACGTCCGAGCCGGCGGCCACGTTGTTCCTGATGTAGTTGTTGAAGTGGGTGATCCAGAAGGTGGCCAGGGAACTGAAACAGATGGATAAGGAAGCAAAGATTTCATCAATGTAATATGAAGACGCAGAATACTATTTTCAATTTTACACAGTGTAGTGAAATACAAGAGTGAGTGATTGAGTATGGGTTTACGCCGCTTTTAGCAATATTACATCAAAATCACGGCGGGGGACACTGGTAAAATATGTGGAGCCCATTTCTATTGTGGGGAATCGAACCCGTGTCTTCGGCGTGACGAGCGAACGCTTTATCCACTAGGTTATCTCAGCGCCCCGAATACGAGAGTGAGTTGGTGTCATATCATGTTATTGACGTGAACCAAGGTAAAAAAACTGACAACTTGGTCAGTCCGAAAAGTACATGTGAAGAGTTAAGAATACCAAGGATGGATGTACAAAAATGGGATTCGAATAAAAAGTGGATACCGGCAACTGAGGGAGGCAATGATACACAAAGAGTTGGAGCAACGGAGAGCCTTTGGCCACCCGCCCCCAGTGTCCGTAGGAAACATCAAGTAACACTACACGTACAGGGAAACATACATGTATCTAGTACAATTGGATGATTGTCTCAGAGTGAGTGAGTGAGTGAGTTGGTTTTAACGCCGCTTTTAACAGTGTTCCAGTTATATCACGGCGTGTCAGCTTAATGTGGGAGGAAAGTGATGCAGGTCTCAGACGTTTATCACTTCGTGAAACCCACGAGCACGGGTATGGTGCTGACAAAACCTAGAAACATAATCGGGGCGAACCGGGATTCCAACCCACAATCATAGGTTTCTGGCGAGCCCAAGGGACGCAACTCTGCACGGCGAATCGCGGCGCCATAGACGACCGGGCCATCCGGGCCCCATTTGTCTCAGAAGAGGGTGAGGCAAAAGTATGGTATGCAACAGTTAGTAAGTTGAATACAAAGAACATCTAATATCGTGTCATGACTTATATATATGTCATATCATATATAATGTTTATATATATATATATATATATACTGAACCGCAAAAGAAACGTCACCCCAAGTAACATTTCATGAAAAGTTGTTAAATATCTGTGTATTTTTTGTCAAAGTTTCTAAAATTTAACATTACCTTGTCCGGAAAAAAAAAATTTGATGATAAAAAACAAAGCGGGTGACAATAAAACCGATCTCCGTGAGTTCCGTGCAAATTGAAATGCACATGCGTTCCCCCATTTCTTACCCTATAAAAATCCACCCAGATCCGATAACATTCATTCGTTATTGTGCAACCACATGCCAAGATTGACAAGAAAACAGCGACACCAAGCCCTTGGACGATTGCAAGCTAGACAAACCGCCCGGCAAGAAGCCAATGCATTTCAAGCCCACGTAAGGACCATATACAGGCTCCAGCAACGGTACCAGACCACAAACACTAAAGATGACCGACCACGTAGTGGAAGACCAAGGCTCACGGCCCGTCGTCAGGATCGTCAGATTGTGCGACAGCATCTTCAAGATCGCTTTGTTACTGCTGCGGAAACTGCTCGACAGACTATGGGGACACACCAGTGCGGACACCGTGCGTCGACGATTGACGAGCAGACACCTCCACTTGTCACAGGCCACACCGAGCACCTATTCTGACACCACGTCATCGCTGGGACCGTCTTCAGTGGGCAACACAGCACCAGCATTGGCGCCACCAGCAGTGGAGAAGAGTCCTCTTCTCAGAGGAGAGCCGTTACTGTATCTCAACAGCAGATGGCAGATAGTGAGTCTAGCGACACCGTTGGGAACTTTATTCAGATATTTGTGTTGATCAAGTCTTGAGACCACACGCCATACCTCATTTGTCACGTCGCCGAAACCACGAGTTTCAGCATGATAACGCTCAGAGTGCGGGCTCAAGTGCCTATGGCCTTTATCAATCGCCTCATCCATTCCATGTATCGACGTTGCACGGCAGTTATCAATGCACATGGCGGAAACACGAGATACTGACTTGTGATGCCATTTTCTCAGAGACTAGTGTTGTGTTTCACTTTAAGAACATTTGACACTTTAATTTCAAACTTAATTATCAGTTTTGCCAAGTTTCATCTTTTTAATATGTCTCAAAGGATGTTCACAGTGTTTGGACAAATAAAGTTTCTCATCTATCTATCCATGGTGACGTTTCTTTTGCGGTTCAATATATATATATATATAAAATCACCTGATACCTATCAGTTCTCCAACCTTCACAACGAGTAGGTTGTTTCGTTTACTCTTATACCGGGATACTGATAGTTACGTTTCGATGCTCTATCCAATATGATTCCTTATGGCGTGTATATTCTTTAAGATCTAACAAGGTACAGCTCAGCGTCCCTGCCAATACATGAGTGGTTTATTCGTCTTTACAGCACATGACGTACTTGCAGTTCCAGGCTAGGGTTTTGTTGCACCAGCGGTTTTTCATGTCCGTCATTATGTGTGTGCCGTGTTTCGTTCCGATTCCGATATTCCCGTCCAGAATATTGTATTGCTCCACACTGTCCTCTAGGAAGTAGCCGTGGCCAAGATGGTCGTAACAGGCGTTGTCGCTCACCTGTGTGATGACGACAGAATAGTTGAACCATACGTGGGAACATCCACACATTAGGCAATATTCAAACAACCAGTATAGGAATCCTGTGCTTCAGAGTTCTTGATACAAATTGATGACATATCAAACTACGTCAGAAAACTTTAAAGTGTACCTCAAGTCCGTCAGTTCCATGGATGGTGACACATCTGGCCAGGCTGTGGTGGATGGAGTTGCTGCGGACCCAGGTGCCGTTGACGTCGTCGCACATGTGAAAGTGTATGGGGTAGGAACCTGCAATTCACAAGATATTTTCATCATCCAATATTTCCCACGAAATTGACAAATGTCCAGTACAGTCAATAATCTCAGTGTTCGTAAAGGATGTCCGGATAACATCAAGGATATTATAACGTTATTGACCAAACAATCAGTATATTCAATGCAAAAGCGTCAAAACCCCTTCATTAATAAGTGTCGATTGTACGATCAAATAGTGGTGATAATAGGTGTTCGCGAAAAGGTGTTCGCGAAAAGGTGGACGTATCCTGCCGCACCGGTGGCACTCGTCACAAACACCTGGAAAGAAACGTTGTTCAACTGAAAATACACGGGAACATACAATAGGGGATTGCATCGGACATCATTTTTGTCACTGATGGGTCAACTTTTCGAAATGTTCTCATACCTACCATAAGACTTTTTGAAAGTTTTACTGAGGCCTTTAAAGTTTTAACCATGATCAAACAACTTATTAGCTAGAGTTATATGACGCCCTTTGAAATCTTGGTAGAAAGCGTGAAATATAGACACCAAGTGCTGGAGCCGCAGGAACATTGCTGAATGTAAAGGGGAAAGTGGACTATTGGAAAGATTAATTCATCCCTCTTGTCATAGTCTTGTGGAGAGTGTTTTGTCACTCTAAATCTTTCTGCATAAATCTAAATATGATTTGTTTGCTTGTTTGTTTAACTCAACAATATCCCAGCTATATGACGGCGGTCTCTAAATAATCGAGTCTGGACCACACAATCCAGTGATTGACATCACGAGCATCAAGCCTGGCAACAGGGATGACATGCATCAACCAAGTCAGCGAGCCTGACCACCCGATCCCGTAAATCGCCTCTTGCAACGAGCATAGTCGCCTGTTACGGCAAGCATAGGTTGCTTGAGACCTATTCTACCCCGTATCTTCACGGGTCTTCAGGCGGTCTCACTGGTCTCCTCTATTTCTAGTTCAGGTCGGTAAATAAGTGAGTGGAGGGGAATTTGCTATTTGATGGTTATTGAACGATATCAGATCACCAACCCAAAGCTTAAGTTAAACTTCTTGGCCAAATTACCTACTTCTTACTTGGCAATCCGAACATATATTGCGATTCAAATGCATAAAGAAATAGCAAGATCAGCAAGAAGGTTGTGCCAACTGGTGCCAATTGGTGCACATGGGGACGACTTATTCTTGTCTCAATTTCTTACCCCCAGATTGTACATAGGTGTTATCAATGAGGAAGTCCACTTCAGATGGCATTTGCTTTTTTTCTGTAGATAGATATGTAACTAGATCTAGGATCATCACGTTTTGTAACAAAATCCCCCTTGATCAAGGAAGGGAGTTTTAAATGTTCTGGTGGGATAGTGGTGTACAAAATTAAAAAATCAAATGTTTTGACAGAATTGAACCCGATTCTTTTCTAAGAACTCAAGAAAATCTTCTGGGGTTGTGAGAATCCACATAGTATTAATTCCACTTGTCTCAAATACTGTCTGAATATACAGAAAGTTCTTTATTGATTATATTAAGGCTTGTGGTTAATCTTTAAGGTAGGGATTTGGTGGTACATTTGCCCAGCAATATGTCCCCGTTTGTACGGATTTTTATGAAGCATTGGAATCCAGTAGAAAAGAGGAATAGACATGTCTTCAGGTGGAGTCATGTCACAAGTTGATAGTACTGGTGATGTAATGGCCATGTTCTTTGATCAAACAAATAATGTAGTGATGCTTACAACTAATGGTTATGTTATTTGAGGAATAAATGAATGCATACGCTAGTTAATTATTTTGACTTGTTCAAATTACAGCGAAATCATTTACTTTGGAGGTTACATATGGTATTACCGACCTTTGAAATATGCCATTGTATGAAACAACGTATCAGGTGAAGATAATGGGACTTCTGATCACGTGAGAAGAGTAAGGACCACATTATACAAATAGACATGTATGGATGGAAAACAAACATTGACATGAAAGGAGAACTGTGTCTACGCAAGTAAAATGGAACGCCTTGACAGTGAATGTCAACATAGCACGGGGAGAAAGTATCATTGTTCACAAGACTGATCTCTATAATAAATGTTACCTGTGAACTCCTGCTGTCCCATGTGGTAGAACTCAATGCCTTGGATGTGAGCTGAGGCGAAACCCTTTGTTACCTGTTAATAAATATATACCATCAATTGTCTTATTTTGGCTGTTTTTACGACACAGGTTTCATCGATTTTTTCATTTCCGTGTTGACAATGGCGAGTAAATGTTGAGTGTATAGGCCACTAAACACCCTGGTAAATGAAGTGTGTTACCTTCAGATGTCAACATATACGTTGACGTTATCACAGATATACTATGTATACATCGTGGCCACTAAACACCCTGGTAAATGAAGTGTGTTACCTTCAGATGTCAACATATACGTTGACGTTATCACAGAGATACTATGTATACATGGTGGCCACTAAACACCCTGGTAAATGATGTATGTTACCTTCAGATGTCAACATATACGTTGACGTTATCACAGATATAGATATACTATGTATACATGGTGGCCACTAAACACCCTGGTAAATGAAGTGTGTTACCTTCAGATGTCAACATATACGTTGACGTTATCACAGAGATACTATGTATACATGGTGGCCACTAAACACCCTGGTAAATGAAGTGTGTTACCTTCAGATGTCAACATATACGTTGACGTTATCACAGATATACTATGTGTACATGGTGGCCACTAAACACCCTGGTAAATGAAGTGTGTTACCTTCAGATGTCAACATATACGTTGACGTTATCACAGATATACTATGTGTACATGGTGGCCACTAAACACCCTGGTAAATGATGTATGTTACCTTAAAATGTCAACATATACGTTGACGTTATCACAGAGATACTATGTGTACATGGTGGCCACTAAACACCCTGGTAAATGAAGTGTGTTACCTTCAGATGTCAACATATACGTTGACGTTATCACAGATATACTATGTATACATGGTGGCCACTAAACACCCTGGTAAATGATGTATGTTACCTTAAAATGTCCACATATACGTTGACGTTATCACAGATATACTATGTGTACATGGTGGCCACTAAACACCCTGGTAAATGAAGTGTGTTACCTTCAGATGTCAACATATACGTTGACGTTATCACAGATATACTATGTGTACATGGTGGCCACTAAACACCCTGGTAAATGAAGTGTGTTACCTTCAGATGTCAACATATACGTTGACGTTATCACAGATATACTATGTGTACATGGTGGCCACTAAACACCCTGGTAAATGATGTATGTTACCTTAAAATGTCCACATATACGTTGACGTTATCACAGAGATACTATGTGTACATGGTGGCCACTAAACACCCTGGTAAATGAAGTGTGTTACCTTAAGATGTCCACATATACGTTGACGTTATCACAGATATACTATGTGTACATGGTGGCCACTAAACACCCTGGTAAATGAAGTGTGTTACCTTAAAATGTCCACATATACGTTGACGTTATCACATAAATACTATGTGTACATCGTGGCCACTAAACACCCTGGTAAATGAAGTGTGTTACCTTCAGATGTCCACAATATACGTTGACGTTATCACATAGATACTATGTGTACATGGTGGCTCCAAACACCCTGGTAAATGAAGTGTGTTACCTTAAGATGTCCACCAAAGTGATCGAAGTTGAAGAGAGAACATAGCCATTTTTCTTTTTTCCTGTTTGTTTCTGTGACGTAACATCCGGTCTCCATCTCACCTTCGATGACGAAGTCACGTGACAGCAGTGCCACCTCACCTCTCATGTCCACTCCGTCATACACCTTGCCGTAGTGCGGAAACTTGAATTCGCCTGTAACAAGTACCTCTGCTCATCTAAACTTTGGACAATACGGACATTCAAGGCATATTCTTTACGCGACATATGGATATATCACAATAAATGTGCACATAGCACTGAAGGAGAAGTGAGTGTCTTGATATAAGTTTGACTTATGAAAGTTATTCGAAACAATGATAAACACTAATTCTATATTTACATGTACAAACACCTGTTTCTGTACTCGAGTAGTATATTTTAGGTCTCGAAATCTGAATCGTACTGAATCACTCAACCGACCTTTGACCCGGAACTGGTTGCTGGCGCAGTCGTCACAAGCAAACACTTCAAACTCCTCCGCCTGTTTCCAGTGAAAGTCCGTAGACGTAAACACAACACGATCACCTGAAGATAAACAGTCAGTATGAACATAGATGAACACAACACGATCACCTGAAGATAAACAGTCAGTATGAACATAGGTGAACACAGCACGATCACCTGAAGATAAACAGTCAGTATGAACATAGGTGAACACAGCACGATCACCTGAAGATAAACAGTCAGTATGAACATAGGTGAACACAACACGATCACCTGAAGATAAACAGTCAGTATGAACATAGGTGAACACAGCACGATCACCTGAAGATAAACAGTCAGTATGAACATAGGTGAACACAGCACGATCACCTGAAGATAAACAGTCATTATGAACATAGGTGAACACAGCACGATCACCTGAAGAGGAACAGTCAGTATATACATAGATGAACAAAACACGATCGCCTGGAGAGGAACATTAAATATATACACATCTATCACTTGTTTGTAAACATAACAGGCTGGCTGTAGCGAGTTCAACTCCTTGTATAGTTGCAGGCCGTCCACCTCAGTGGGGGAGGTGTGACTGGTGGCTATGGGTGTGGGGAACTTGAGTTGGCGTGACTAGTTAAGAGCCAGATATCTGAACGAGGTTTTACATGTGTAAAGATAAGCATGTTGGTGCCCCCCTACTTACCTGTTTGCCATGATGATACGTCATTGATTACATCAATTTTAGGATAGGAGATTTCTGTGGATGTAACCCGGAAATTGACACCATTTGGACGCCTTCTGTTTCTTGTACTGATAGCACTTTCGACAGCAAATTTGAGATGCGTCTCCCAAAGAACAACGTGGACGTCATCAGTTTGTGTGTAGGTGCCATCTTTCTCCCTAGCCACGTGCTGCTCCATGGTGACTTTCGGGTTTCCTGAGTAGGACAACAACGAGTACATACACGGATACAACTATTCTAAGGCATTGCCTAAAAGTCGGGCCGGGCCAAGACGGGCCAAAGTGTTATTGGCTAATTACTTCATTATTGGCCATCATACCTACATATAATTGATGCAACACACATGACATAAATGAACAATCACCAAACAAAAAAGTGCACAATAATTAAGTAATTCGGAGTAAATCACTTGAAAACCAGAAAGTGGAGCTGTGTGTAAGCGTCGCTGATCTAGGTAACATGTAAAAGAGCAATCGTGAAACGAAATAAGATTATAAACGTATCAAATACTTCTAGCTATCGTGATACAAATTTCCATCTGTCGGCACAGCGTTTCTATTTATAGGAACGTACTATATCTAAGTAAATACCACTTTATAATGTATTCGTTTTTAAAGCAGACACGTTGGTTAAAGTAGACCTCTTCTCCCTATACTCTCAACAGTCACACAAGTGTTCGGTCCGACTTGGCCCGGGCTGTCAAAATCAACTTTAAACTCACATATGTATCTTCAAATGGATTCACATCTATAAACTAGTATAACATCTACCAAAATACCACTTTATAGTGTCTCAGATCGCTGTATTTAAAGAAAACAAGGGGCTCAAAGTGAAGCCCTTTTCCCTCTACATTCTCAACAGTCTATCAGAAGTGTTTGGCTTGTGTTGGGTCCGACTAGGCCCGGGCGGTCTAAATCTACTTTCAACACACAGAAGTATCTTCAAATGTATTTACATCTATAGATTAGTATTGAATCTACCTATATACCACTTTATAATGTCACGGTACATCGTATTTAAAGACAACAAGGTGCTCAAAGTAAAGCATTTTTACTGTATTTTCTTACGAAAATCTGTCTGAAGTGTTCGGTCCGACTTGGTCCGGGCTGTCAAAATCAACTTTAAACACACAGATGTATCTTAAAATGTGTTTACACCTATAGATTAGTATTAAATCTACCTGTATACCACTTTATAATGTCACAGTATATCGCATTCAAAGAAAACTGGGCCGTTAAAGTCAAGCTCTTTTACTGTATTTCCTTAAGAAAATCAATGTCAGAAGTGTTCGGTCCGACTTGGCCCGGGCTGTCAAAATCAAGTTCATCAAACGTATTTACATGTATACAAAGTGAAGCACTTTTTCGCATATTCTGAACATCCACTCTCAAAGTAGTGGTTGTTTAGCCTTAGCCAAAATTCACCATAACCTTATAGATATAAACGTTGTATTTGTCATTTTAACTGTAACCTTTTGATCGAAATCCTATTCTTTTGTAAAAGAAAATAACTTAAACGTTTTGAGGCCTCCTAATCTTAAATGCTTGGTAGAAAACGAATGACAAGGTAGACACAATTGTATGGATAACTTTATCCATAAAATTGTGTCTGCCTTGTCTTCCGTCAACTTCTTACTTACTTACTTAGATTTAACGTGCGCTTTCCGACTGATGCGTATTTCGCACACGGGCCCGGCCAGGCCATTTAATGTGTTTCCGAAAGGGGCGAAAGTGGTCTGTGCAACCCAAGAGGGGGGTTTTAGGGGTTGCTTATATAGAATTTGGGAATTTTGAGATTTGGAATAGAGAACTAAAGGAGCTGGGTATGGTGGATGTTTGTTTGTTTATGTGATTTTGATTTGGTAGGTTATTGTGTTTTTAGATGCGTTTTATTAGTTCCGTTTTTATTAAGAATACGCCTAAGGCCTTGAAGTTTTCTAGTTTATTTTGTGGGTTTAGTATTGCTTCTAGAGTTAGAGCCTTGTTTAGATTGAGGGTGGTTTGTAATGCGGTTCGATGTGTTAGGTAGTGTGTGCAGTGGATGAGTGCATGTTCTGGGGTTTCTAGTTGTTTGCAGTGTTGGCAGTTACCTATAGTGTGTTGTTGTTTTTTAAAAAATAGGTGGTTATTTAGGTTGGTGTGTCCTGTTTGGAGTTTAGTGATTACTCTGTCGATTTTTTTGGATGGATGGATAATTTTTGATTTGGTTAGTCGTTTGCTGAGCATTTTTTTGATTTGGCTATTTGAGTTTAGATATAGGTTATGCCATTTTTTGTGATTTTTTGCTTGTTTACACTTTTAATTTCTGATTTGAGATGGGCAAGTTTAAGCTTATTTCTGGGATTTTGAGGGATAGTTTAGCTGCTTTATCGGCGTTTTCATTACCGTATATTCCTACGTGGGCGGGTATCCACAAGAAGGTTATTTGTTTGCCTGCCTTAGTTAGGTCGTTGGAGCTTTTAAGTATTTGATTTATTAATTTAGGTCGGTTTTTGGTATTTTTGTTTTGGAGGGCTTGCAGTCCACTTAGGGAGTCGGTAAGTATTAGGATTTTCTTGTGTTTTTTGGATTCTTGATTATGGAGGGCTGAGGCCATGCCCATTAGTTATGCTGTGAATATTGATTGGTTGTTTGGGAGTCGGAAGGATTGTGTGGTTTTAGTTGGTTGTGTGGTATGGACTCCGAAACCTGTGTGTTTGGAGGTCGGATCTGAGGATCCGTCCGTGTAAATGTGACACCAATTTGGCCAATTTTCGTGTATGTATGCTAGTGTGGTAGTTTTAGCTATGTTTGGGTCGGTTTGTTTATTTATTTGGCTAGCTAGTGTTGTGTCTATTTTGGGTATTTTAAGTTTAGGGGTGAAGATATTTGATTGTTTGCAGTTTTGTTTAAGATTTTTAATTTGGTGTTCATTTAGGTAGTTTGTTATTCTTTGGGATATTGGGGTAAGTAAGGGGTGTTTACGAGCTAGAGCTTGGTTTTGTGGGCTGATGTTTTGGTTTATTAAGTTTTGGATGAGAGGGTTTGATTGGGACGCGGCCCAGAAATTTAAGCTTAGCTGTTCCCTGCGTAGACTTAGTGGCATTTCTCCTGTTAAGGCCTGAAGTGAGGTGTAGGAGGTGCCATGTTGGGTGCGTGTAATTAGTTTGAGAGCCTGATATTGTATTGAGTCAAGTTTTTTAGATAGAGAGTTGTTTAGGGTGTTGTATATGGCGCAGCCGTAGTCTAGTTTTGATCTAATTAGTGATATGTAGAGAGAGAGGAGGGTATCTTTGGATGCTCCCCAGTTAGAGCCAGTTTGGCATCTTAGGGTGTTTAGGTCTTTACTGCATTTAGTTGTTAGGTTTTGGATGTGAGCATCCCAGGTGAGATGTTCATCGAAAATAAGTCCTAAGAATTTGGTTTGTTTTTTAAATTTGATTGTTTGATTGTTTAGCTGGAGGATTGGGGAGGCGGGTTTCATGTTTTTATGTTTGAATACTATTCCTGTTGTTTTTTCTGAGTTAAGGGAGAAGCCCCATTTGTCAGCCCATTGTTATATTTTATTAAGAGATTTCTGGAGTAATTTTTGGACCATGTTCATGCTTTTAGTGCGGATCCAGATGGCTCCATCATCCGCGAATTTTGATGTGTTTACTTTAGGGGATAGGCCCTCGAATAGATCGTTTATCATTATATTGAAGAGGGTGGGGCTGAGGATACTGCGCTGTGGCGTACCATTTTCTAGGGGACATTGGTCCGATAGAGTTTGGTCTATACCCACGGTTATTTTACGATTGTTTAGGAAGTCCTGGATGTAGTTTATTATCTGACCTTTGAGTCCTATTTTTTTAAGTTTTTGTATTAGCCCATCGTGCCATACCATGTCGAAAGCTTTAGAGAAGTCTAAGAAGATGCCTGTGGTATATTGTTTATTTAGTTGTCCTGTCTTAATATCTTGTTCTAGTCGGGCGAGGTTATCTAGGGTTGAGCGGCCAGGAGTGAAACCGCTTTGATCTGGGTTTATGATGTTATTTTGGGTTAAGTAATGTTGTAATCTATTTTTAGCCATGGATTCCATTACTTTACATAAGTTTGAAGTTAGGGATATTGGTCTATATGAGTTAGCTTGATTAGCTGGTTTATTAGGTTTAGGGATTGGTATGACTAGGGCCTGTTTCCAGGGAGTAGGAACCTGTCCGTTTAGGTAGATGAGATTGTATAGTTTGAGTAGTGCCTGGAGTAGTTTTAGGGGGAGTTTTTTAATTATTTGGTAAGAAGTTAGGTCTAATCCTGGGGCTGTGCCCTTTTTCCTGTTTTGGATTACGTAGAGGAGCTCCTCTATTGTGTAGGGTTGATTTATTTCTAGATTGTTATTGTTTGGTTCTTTTGTGGGTTTGTTTTCTGTTTTAAGTTTATCTTGGAATTTTTTACTGAAGTTGGTGTTACTGCTAACGGCAGAAAAGTGGTTGGCGAGATTATTTGCTTTTTGGGCGGGGTTGGTTGAGTTGTCAATGTTAGGGGTTTTTTTATGTCGTTTTAAGCCTCTGATGGCGTGGATTTTGCGCCTGACCATTCTGGCATCTGTACGGTTATTTATACCTTCGCAGAATTTTTTCCAGTCTCTACTTTTGGCTATTTGGACTAGTTTTTGAACCTGGTGGTTTAGTTCGTGGGCTATGTTTAAATATTTGTAGTCGCGTTTTGCTTTATTGAAGGCTGATTTACGTTTTCGTCTAGTCTGTTCTATTTCCTCATTCCACCATGGTACCGTCGGTTTGCCTGTCTTAGATGTTTTGAAGGGGATGGAGGTTTTGGCTGCGTTTATTATAGTCTGTTAGGTTTTTACAATAGGTTTCTGGATCAGTATTTTCTATTTCGTTTAAGTTAGCTTCGTTGCAGATATCTTGGAATTGGTCCCAGTTAGCTTTATTGTAATGGAATTTTGGTTCTTGGTTTTCTGTTTGGATTGGTACGTTTGTATTTCCCATGGTTATGTTTATGGGGAAGTGGTCACTACCTAGCGGGACGTCGTGCACTTCCCATTGAGTACTTTGGGCTAGATCTGCGGTGCATATGGTTAGGTCGATAGCCGACATTTTTTGGTTTATCTTATCGTACCTCGTGGGTTGGTTGCTATTAAGGAGTACTAGGTCGTTTGTTTCTATCCATTCGGAGATTAATTTGCCATGATTATCTATTTTATCATCTATGCTCCATGTAGGATGGTGAGCGTTAAAGTCTCCTAGGAATATAGTAGATTTATCGCTTATTTGGAGTAGTTTGTTTAGATCCTCAGGTTGGACTTTTTGTTCCGCCCAGTGGTAAATATTTATGATGTTTATTTTTCGGTTATATAATGTGATTTTAATGCCGTTGGCTTCTAGGTTTGGCGTGTCTATTTTATTTCTTCGTAATTTATATCTTCCCTGATAAATACGATTAGTCCTCCTGCGGCTCTTCTTGTTTTCGGTTTAGCTCTGTCAGTTCTAACTGAGTTGTAGTTAGGTAGTGTGAATTTGGATTTTTTTTGAGAATTTGGTTTCCTGTATACAAGCAATGTGAGGGCCTTTATTTAGTTTAAATTTAGTTTTTAGTTCATGGCCGTGGGAGGTGAGTCCGTCAACTTCTAAGTAATGCCTCTCAAATAAAGAGAAAATGAATGCGTTGATGTACAAATGTTTCAACTGTTAGATGAAAAGTAGACGTCACACATCGTTCGATCATTTTAGTGGTCAGTTTACTGACCAGGTGTATTGACATTTGTCATCAGCAGGTTGTCAGTTACTGACCAGACCAGACCACACCACGTGTGTTTGTGTCTACGTAAACATACTAATTGTGTTTTAAGATCACAGACCCCCCACGTATGAAATTAGTCCTTTTTAATTGAAAGAAACGCGGGAAAGGATTTTTCCAAATAATTAGATACTGACAGGTTGCGTAGACGGGGACGAAACATACAAGTTGTTGGCTGCTAATTGTGTCACTATTAGTACGATGTATTTACTACATGCCATTCCGGTCCACTTCCCGTTATTAGTATTTCTATATTTATAATCCCAAAATAAGTGAGTAAATGCTTTTGACTTCCCCATTCACGAGATTAATATAAGCTTGTATACCTTGTTAAATCTCACTGTAGTGTAAGTTTTGCAGCTATGTTGCTGAATAAATTGTAACTTAAACGGTTTATTCCAACAACAGATAAAGTGTGTTGAAGTTTTGGCATGTTTATATGGTGTCATAAGCTATGGTCTTTAGTCAAACGTGTTTTGAATTTGTAAGAAATGTAAAAAAACACTATTTCAAGACTCACATATATGTTCCTTTTTTATGTTGATTCAGAAAACGCAGCATTCATATTCATATTTATTGTAATGTGAATTTTAAACATGTGTTTTTAACTTTCTCCATTATGTTTTGCCATTTTACGCAATATTTGTTCAAACATCAGGTGTAGACACTTGTCTGTCAGAAACACAACCTTGCGGTTTCTTTGCCGAACGCAAATTATAATCTTAGAAGATAACTAAACTGTAATTATGAATATACCGATGCGGGTTGAGAATGCACTTACAAAACTGTTTCACATGTACTCATAGAACAAACGCATAATATTTCCAATTGAGAATTATTCATAACGTACTACTGGTTAACACATTTGAACACATCTCAATGTTGAACATTAGATCAATCGTGAACTGTTACTCAAATAGTATAAGTACTTACATCTGAGGTACCAGTTAGGTACCAGGTTTTCGTACCTTAACATATGCACATGTACATCATTAATGTTTGTTTTCACAGTTCAAGCATCGTCTTACAATACGCTAATTTGATTATTCGATTACACTGAATTATACTGGAGAAACGCTTTTGCTTAACTTGTGTCTTGTGTCTCTTCGATCCTTCTCATAGCGTCCGTGTATGCCCGTTAAGTGTGGAATTAATCCAAATTGCACCTGTACTCAGCTTGCTTAATTGCCCCTTGTGTAATTGCAATCAAGTAGGTGTTGCGTAATCAATCAACCATTTGCCCTTAATTAACTCTCCTGAGCTTTTAGTGGTAGTTAATAGCATACCGTTTCATTTATAACTTATGCATTTGGTGAGGCTAATTAACAAAACCAATTTATTTTATTTTAAACTTCCGTTAACATGTTTGTCCTAAAATGCTTCCAGAATACTTTTGTAAGCTATGATAGTGTCGTGTCCCTAACAAATACGAAAAAAAGCTACAACATATCGCCATATTGGTATGAAAAATACTATTCCATAAAACATACTATCACTGGCCACTGACAAACATTAGCAGTATTAGAATAAGAAAAACCAAATAAACACAGTATGACGTGATGATGTGTAAGCATACAGAAAACTAAGAGAGCCCAACTTACTTCAGTTTCTGTACTGTACTTGGGCTTACCTCCTTTTGCATTCTACCTGTCGGATCGACTTGACCCGGGTGGTTATATAGGTAGATATAACACTAGTCTATAGATGTAAACACATTTGAAGATAAATCTGTGTGTTTAAAGTAGTGAGTGACTGAGTGAGTTAGGTTTAACGCCGCTTTTAACAGTATTCCAGTTATATCACGGCCTGTCAGCTTAATGTGGGAGGAAAACCCGAAGTGATGCAGGTCTCAGATGTTTACCACTTCGGTGAAACCCACGAGCACGGGTATGGTGCTGACAAACCTAGAAACATAATAGGGGCGAACCGGGATTCCAACCCACAATCATGGGTTTCTGGCGTGCCCAAGGGACGCAACTCTGCACAGCGAATCGCGGCGCCTAAGACGACTGGGCCACCCGTGCCCCGTGTTGAAAGTAGATTTTGACCGCCCGGGCCAAGTCGGACCCAACACAAGCCAAACACTTCTGATAGAGACTGTTGAGAATGAAGTGGGAAAAGGGCTTCACTTTGAGCCCTTTGTTTTCTATAAATACTGCGATCTGAGACACTATAAAGTGGTATGTGAATCCATTTGATTTGATTTGAATCATTTTGAGCACCTTGTTTTCTTTAAATACGATGTACCGTGACATTATAAAGTGGTATATAGGTAGATTCAATACCAATCTATAGATGTACACACATTTGAAGATACATCTGTGTGTTTAAAGTAGATTTTGACAGACCAGGCCTAGTCGGACCCAACACAAGCCAAACACTTCTGATAGAGACTATGTTGAGAATGTAGAGTGAAAAAGGCTTCACTTTGAGCTCTGTTTTCTTTAACTACTGAAATATGAGACAATAAAGTGGTATATAATTAGATATAATACTAGTCTTTAGATATAAGGAATGTTAGGAACTTTAGAAGTGCTTGGACAGTTATTAACACGTGTCGTGTCAGTCTTTTGACATTCGCGAATATCCACTTCCAGAAAACATCCTGTGTTGGTTTAACACGAATTAGTAAAGGTTAATTAGGGATGCCCAACACGTTAATTAATGAAAGAAGAGTAGTCAAAACACTGTCGTTTCCTGCCCAGGACATCACACCCCTACCCGCTAAGGTCGGTGAGAAGCATTCTAGTCAAAGAATACACACAGTCAAGACACTGACTTTTCTACGAGACTCACGGTATGTAGGGATTCGTTTTTTCTCTTAACGTCCGCAACCATCAGTAAGTATACTTACCTGTAATGGTTATAAAAGCATACGACTCGAAATCCTTGACCTTCCTGATGCGCGACGTTGTCAATCCACCCAACGTCTCAATGGCGGAGAACACGGACTTCCAGTTTCTGCGACGTTTTGATTTAATCCCCAACCTCCGCATTACACCCAGGGCGACCACTTTATTCTTAGGAATAACTGAAAAAAAGTTTGTCATGTATCAGACAACCAAATCTGTTCATTAACAACTTGATTGCTTTTTGCAGTTAGTCCAAATACCTAATGGAAATTGAAGAATCATATATATATGTGAAATATCTTCCGATAAGGTTTATATCAATCAAAAAGATGTTTTAAGTGTTTACCATTTCGCGAACACCTGTGTCATCACTGACTGTCAGTAATCAATTCATATCATTTTCACCACAAGTTTGCCTTTTACACCCAAATGCAATCTGTTTCGGCAGATGATTGAGACTGGTAGTTCTTTGGCTTTGTTTTATATTACTTTAGGTATCAGTTTCATCCTAAATTATCAATTTTATTTAATGCCAAAATAGAATAAAATAATTTACGACAATCATTCTAAAAGAATGGAATCGGGTATGCATCAGTTTTTTCATGTTTGTTTGTTGTTCAACACCGCACTCAGCAAAATTTCCGCTATATGACGTCGGTCTGTAAATAATTGAGTCTGGACCAGACAATCCAGTGATTGATATCATGACATCGATCCACGCAATTGGGATACGATGACATGCATCAACCAAGTCGGCGAGCCTGACCACCCGATCCCGTTAGTCGCCTCTTACGACAAGCATAGTCGTCTTATTCTATCCCGGATCTTCACGGGGATTTTTTTCATGTAATATGATATATTATACAACTTTTGACATGCTGCAAGTGGAGGAAGCTTACAGTTTCAAACAGCGAGTGAGTGTGGTATTACGTCACGTTTAACAATAGTCCAGCGATATCACGACAGGGACACCAGAAATGGGCTCCTAAACGGAGAATCAAACACTGGCCTTCGACGCGATTTGCTGCAATATGCTATGTCAGATTTGTCGAATATTTCTTGACATCTATAGCTTTGTTGAAACGAACCAGTACGGGTCGAACTGAATTCGATCTTAAACGGAAATTAAAACTATTTCAGCAGTTCCTGGCGGGAAAGTATACGGACACTCCTGATTCACAGCAATAAACGGTACCTCAAAGTTCTGGTTCTAGGTTGAACGCTTGGTCTTGAGCATGCTTGCCTAAGAGGCAACTAAAGGGATCGGGTTGTCAGGCTCGCTGACTTGGTTGATGCATGTCTTGTTTGCAGGCCGCGTCTCTGGAATATTGCCGAGTGCAGCGTGGGGCAACATACAAACAAACAAAGCCTTCAACACAGGGGAGGTTGAAACCTGATCCTGCAATGCGTCATCTGTTGTCAAGTTCTGTTGATGTGTATCATGTTCCTGTCACCAACACTGGACTTACATCTGTATTCCACGCCGTAAAAACAAGGCCACCACTTACTTTTCAGGAACTTCACAAGGTTTTTATCGGCGGTGGAGTGCCAATTCTCCCCCGTGTAGAAGGCGCCGAAGTCATACAGACTCCCGTTCAGGTTCCACACCACCACGTGGAGTCCCATTCCCCGCTCCCGGTAATATGGCGTTTTCTATGTGGGGAAAAATATCAGATCTGATATTCACAGAGGGTAATGACTATTGGCTCACAATTGAATAAGATCTTCGTCTGAAGATCTGGAGTAGGCGAGGTGAAATTGGGTTTCACGTCGCGTCCAAGATTATTGCACTTATATAGCGACCTGCATGCACGTGTGTGCGTTTGTGTGGCTGCTTGTACTAGTGCTAGCTCACTGAGATACCATGCCGCAGTTTAACATGAATACCCCACTCAGACACAGTATACTGACTGAGCCGACCAGTCCTTGTTTTAGCCCCTTAATGCCGAGCGACAGACAGGGTAACAACAAGTACCATCTTTTAACGTCTTTTGGTATGACGCGGTCGGGGATCGAACCCCGGACCTTCCGTTCTCCGGGCGGACGCTCTACCACAAGACCACGGAGGCGGCGAAGATCTGGAGTAAGTATGTCGCGTTTATGTCATATTTTTACAAATGTTTAGAATCACCTAGCCCACACCATTAAGGAATCCAACCATCAACCTGGAACTGATACCTGTTGCGTGTATCGTGGATCTTACTCGTATACTACATATCAGCAGCTCTCCAATCCTTACCTTGTGATTGTAGACAACTCCACACGTCTGATCTGCAGCAGGGATGGAGGTCGCCAGCTTCGTCCATGACGTCTTCTCCCTGCCATGAAGCTCCAGAACGCCACCTGCCGCCACACCGATGAACTTCCGGCCGAAACCAGGAACGTTCAGTGTTGAGTTGCTGAGGCCTATGGTAAGATTGTTGAACTGTTGATACTTGATTCAGTATGAAATAGAATATGCAAATTACTGGTCATGCCAATAGTAAAGTGATTGTATGCCATTTGAAAGGTTCTGTTGCCCTCAAAAGCCAAAGGTAACCTTTACAAGATTTCAAATTCAGGGACACGTGCGGCCTTCTTTTTCAGATGCAGTCTGCTGTGTAGACGCCGATTCCAGGTCCTTGTTACCACAGGAAGACGAGTGTTGATGTAATCATCTCATATTTAATGGCCATGAAGTTGAGTGACTCTCCCCCCTCCCTCCCTCTCCCCCCTCCCCCCTCCTCTCCCTCTCTCCCTCTCCCCCCTCCCCCCCCTCCCCCCCCTCCCCCCCCCTCCTCCTCCCCCCCCCTCCTCCTCCCCCCTCCTCCTCCTCCCCCCTCCTCCTCCTCCCCCTCCTCCTCCTCTTCCTCCCCCTCCTCCTCCCCCTCCTCCTCTCCTCCTCCTCTCCTCCTCCTCCTCTCCTCCTCCTCCTCTCCTCCCCCTCCCCCTCCTCCCCCTCCTCCACGTAATAGTTTTCAGCGCCATACATTTCTTTTCAGTGTGGACATGTCTGAGGTTATAGAGAGTGCTGCGCAGTCACAATTTACAGGTAAAACCAATTACTTGGGGGAACGATGCTGGTTTTCTTGGATCTGCTACTACAGTTTACATGGTAGGGTAACATAGGGTACCTGTGAGGACGATGTTGGCTTTCTTGGTGAATCTGCAGTCGTCGCTGCCGACGTGGAACTCCCCCCTAACCAGGACGTAGCTGACGGTGAGTGTGATGTCTGCCTTGTCGTCCCAAACTATCCTGGCCCCAGACTCCACCGTGATCGACCCCAGGGACGGAGTGGACTCGTCCAGTAGCACGCGCATGCTAGAGGTCAAGATAACCTGCAAATCATAGTACGTTTGTATACAGTGCACAGATACAGTTCGTTAAGAAAAACCTTAATCTGAGCAACGTGAACTAATACTATGCTATAACAGTTAAATATAATAACACAATGCCATTTAGAAAGTGGTCAAATGTAATAAATGTTATATGGGATAACACTTTGTCAGTAAAGTACAGATTCCAGTTGAGTGCTATCCAGGATTCGAACCCACACTGCCAGAGTGAGACACCTAATCGCCAACTCACAAAGTCAGCCATCTTACCCACTCAGCCACCGAGGCTTCCACGAAATGAAAGTCCGACAACTGGTAGTCTAGATCACGTACTTTGTGTACCCCGGATGAGACAACCCCAAAATCCTCACGATTTGGCTGATATATTGCCGATGTGACGTAAAGCATAAACTCGCTGACTCGACCTCCCAAAATACTAGAATTTGTGCTTTACTAAGAAAGTTTCTCCCAAATAAAATGTTATTTATTTAGGATAAAACTTTCTTAGTAAAGTACACATTCTAGTATTTTGGGGGTTGAGTCTCACCCGGGGTACACAAAGTACGTGGTCGAGGACTACCTGTGTTATCCCAAATAAAACATATATTCGATAAGTATATATTCTACAATGTCTTCGACAATAAACAGTATAGCTACAATAAGTTGCATCTAATAAAATTATGATTGTACAGCATCCGTTGAGATCCGAGATAGATTTGGTCTTCAGCAACCCATGCTTGTCATAAGAGATGACTAGGATTGTCGTAAGAGGCAACTAACGGGATCGGGTGGAAAGGCTCTCGCTGACTTGGTTGATGCAAAACATTCTTTTTACGTTTACTTTTTACATCAAGGGTTGCGATTATGGCATGCACATGGAAATAATATCAAGACGGCTGTATTACTTTCATTCCTACTTATCTAAATTTGGGTAAAAGACCCATCGCAGTACAGTTGTGTGCATTGACCAACATCACACAAAACACGCTTTAAATAGTAATTTCACCTGTTGTTGCCTTGGTATGTAACTTATTTAATATCCTTTGTTGTGTCTTGACGGCGATTCAATAAAATTTAAACCGTGAATATAAATTTATTTTTTTTATACTATGAAATAGCATAGAAAGATAAATAATTGACTATTTTTGATAATCTAGGCCATGGTTATATCAAGAGTGAAATTAATAATGTTCAAAGACATGCTTTTATCTGGTATCAGATGTATCGACTTCTTTTTGAATTACCTACCAGTGGACAAATTATTTTAATCCTGTTTTCGTTTGTTCATCTCGAATGCATCATGTGACATTAACATCAAGGAAATCCTGTTCGATAAATTTGATAGCTACATTCGGTTTGAATCCTCTACTGGACAATAGAGTCGCGACAAATTATACATATTTAGTTATCAGAATAAACGACATATAACACAAAATGACTGCCAGGCATAAAATTGACCAAAGTCACCTGTTTGCCTCCCTCTGGCTTGGTCCCTCCCCACGTGCTGGCATCGCTCCATCTCTTCAGACCGGGGTCCGTGTGTGGACACCCAGCGTCCACTGTCGCCAGACAAACCAGGGTCATCACTGCAGCCAGTGTCCGAGATGACCAACAGTCGCCCATCGTAGTCACCATGACGAAGATGTGGACTGATCAGTCACGGTTTCTATGTATATACTTCTTTCCAATATTCACGGAACCGAAAACATGCGTTTAATAGTTATAGCGTAAATGACAGAATAGCATCAGTTGAACGGTCAGCACATTTAGAGCGAGATGGATTTTCACAGAAGGATGAAAATGTTTATCAACCAAGGCTGACCAAATGCCGTTTCTGATTCAGCCGACACAATTAGAAATGGCCGGACCCTCCGAGACCTACAACCAACACCTATGCACTGGTACTGGCACCAGTTGTGAGCTTATATATGTGAGGTGAATATGGATTTGATGGGATATTATTACCTCGCATACTAAATCTGAAATTCACGTGCAATATTGAGTAACAGGGTAACATTCGACCGTTTGAAGAAGCCTTCTTATTCCTTTCCACATGTTCCCCCTGCTACAGTCCGACCGACTGTGACCTTGCTTGTTTGTGGACAGGTCGGGTCGTTGGCCCTGAGGGTAGTGTCCTCGGCTGGATAAGCCTATGAGGATTGATTCCCAACACGGAATTTCAGGTACCATATAACAATATCAGTCATATTGTACACTTCACAATAGTGTAGCTGTGATATGAACAATACGTACATAGTGTATTTTCAGTTCAATTGCCTGGTATCTATCTTTGAAATAATAATCTGAAATGCCAGATTAAAAATACTTTGTCTTCCGATGTTACTAAAGAACCCGTTCACTGGATACGCATTTCTTTTTCCCAAGCTGTGATATTGCTAGAATATTGCTACAAGCGGCGTAAAACCATACTCACCCAATCATTCCTTTGGAGTTAACTGCTTTATTTATTGTTAATGATGTTTAGTTTAAACTTTATTCTAAACAAGAAATGAACGGGATTGGTAGACAAGTTCTTCAATCTTACTCTCTCTAACTGGAGTTGACAAGTTTCACAACTCAATATACGCATCAGTCAAAATACACATTGACTGATATTTTCAGTCAATATACATATTCCCTGATTATAGACATTGGCTGTGACATGTATACACACTACTGTAGAAGAGCCATAAAATACTAGTTAGATAGAATGTGCCAAAACAAGTTGTTTGAAAGAGGACAGAAGCACATTAAAAGAACAGTTCTTTATACAAATCCTTTAGTGGTACATGTATACAGTGTTGGACTGCCTTAAAAAAGCTTCGTTATCTGTAACAACAGTATCTGCATTGCATTGCTGTTATGAACAACATTTCAAGGCAGTTAAACATAAGTTCACGTTGATGAATAGACAATGTACATCCCATGACATCATGTATTTTCACGTGTGTTTGAACACGTACAGTTTGAGTGTGTTCTTTTATACCACCTCCACACAACTCCTAACACAGTTGCCGGCACATACATTTCCTCATGCGCTCCACTGGCTTGTGTCTGTCATCATCCACGTCTGAAGCCATGTACATCGCTAAGTAAATTTCTTCTCCCCAGCCAAGATAAGATTCGGACATTCGGCACACTACAGTAGAGTTTGTAGATTACAGGCTAGTTGCTTAGAAGCAAGTGTTATTCCCCAGTAACTTAGGGCGTTTCGTGGGTCCCCTTATGAGGATTTGGGGATTGGTGGGATTATACATTTACTCTACATAGTAGGCACATGATAACTGGAAATAAGTTTAATAGAGTACCTCACACGGACACACTTCTAAATAAGCTGGAATGTCATCAAAACTTGGTAATGTTCCACTCGTCCCTCTATTTACAGCTAACTGAAGCAGCTCCATCCAGCTGTACAGCACTGTTGAACTTGCTTCATAGACCTCCCTCACTTGCCCACTACTCCATCTCTCTTCCACTACTATCACATCCGCTACCTTCGTTCAGCATTGCTTCATAGACCTCCCTCACTTGTCCACTACTCCATCTCTTCCACTACTATCACATCCGCTACCTTCGTTCAGCATTGCTTCATAGACCACCCTCACTTGTCCACTACTCTATTTCTCTTCCACTTCTACCACATCCGCTACCTTCGTTCAGCATTGCTTCATAGACCACCCTCACTTGTCCACTACTCTATTTCTCTTCCACTTCTACCACATCCGCTACCTTCGTTCAGCATTGCTTCATAGACCACCCTCACTTGTCCACTACTCTATTTCTCTTCCACTTCTACCACATCCGCTACCTTCGTTCAGCATTGCTTCATAGACCACCCTTACTTGTCCACTACTCCATCTCTTCCACTACTATCACATCCGCTACCTTCGTTCAGCATTGCTTCATAGACCACCCTCACTTGTCCACTACTCTATTTCTCTTCCACTTCTACCACATCCGCTACCTTCGTTCAGCATTGCTTCATAGACCACCCTCACTTGTCCACTACTCTATTTCTCTTCCACTTCTACCACATCCGCTACCTTCGTTCAGCATTGCTTCATAGACCTCCCTCACTTGTCCACTACTCCATCTCTTCCACTACTATCACATCCGCTACCTTCGTTCAGCATTGCTTCATAGACCACCCTCACTTGTCCACTACTCTATTTCTCTTCCACTTCTACCACATCCGCTACCTTCGTTCAGCATTGCTTCATAGACCACCCTCACTTGTCCACTACTCTATTTCTCTTCCACTTCTACCACATCCGCTACCTTCGTTCAGCATTGCTTCATAGACCACCCTCACTTGTCCACTACTCTATTTCTCTTCCACTTCTACCACATCCGCTACCTTCGTTCAGCATTGCTTCATAGACCACCCTCACTTGTCCACTACTCCATCTCTTCCACTTCTATGACATCCGCTACCTTCGTTCAGCATTGCTTCATAGACCACCCTCACTTGTCCACTACTCCATTTCTCTTCCACTTCTACCACATCCGCTACCTTCGTTCAGCATTGCTTCATAGACCACCCTCACTTGTCCACTACTCAATCTCTTCCACTTCTATGACATCCGCTACCTTCGTTCAGCATTGCTTCATAGACCACCCTCACTTGTCCACTACTCTATTTCTCTTCCACTTCTATCACATCCGCTACCTTCGTTCAGCATTGCTTCATAGACCACCCTTACTTGTCCACTACTCCATCTCTCTTCCACTTCTATCACATCCGCTACCTTCGTTCAGCATTGCTTCATAGACCACCCTTACTTGTCCACTACTCCACCTCTCTTCCACTACTATGACATCCGCTACCTTCGTTCAGCATTGCTTCATAGACCACCCTCACTTGTCCACTACTCCATCTCTCTTCCACTACTATGACATCCGCTACCTTCGTTCAGCATTGCTTCATAGACCACCCTCACTTGCCCACTACTCCATCTCTCTTCCACTACTATGACATCCGCTACCTTCGTTCAGCATTGCTTCATAGACCACCCTCACTTGTCCACTACTCTATTTCTCTTCCACTACTATGACATCCGCTACCTTCGTTCAGCATTGCTTCATAGATCACCCTCACTTGTCCACTACTCCATCTCTTCCACTTCTATGACATCCGCTACCTTCGTTCAGCATTGCTTCATAGACCACCCTCACTTGTCCACTACTCTATTTCTCTTCCACTACTATGACATCCGCTACCTTCGTTCAGCATTGCTTCATAGACCACCCTCACTTGTCCACTACTCCATCTCTCTTCCACTTCTACCACATCCGCTACCTTCGTTCAGCATTGCTTCATAGACCACCCTTACTTGCCCACTACTCCATCTCTTCCACTACTATCACATCTGCTACCTTCGTTCAGCATTGCTTCATAGACCACCCTCACTTTTCCACTACTCTATTTCTCTTCCACTTCTACCACATCCGCTACCTTTGTTCAGCATTGCTTCATAGACCACCCTTACTTGCCCACTACTCCATCTCTCTTCCACTTCTACCACATCCGCTACCTTCGTTCAGCATTGCTTCATAGACCACCCTTACTTGTCCACTACTCCATCTCTCTTCCACTTCTACCACATCCGCTACCTTCGTTCAGCATTGCTTCATAGACCACCCTCACTTGTCCACTACTCCACCTCTCTTCCACTACTATGACATCCGCTACCTTCGTTCAGCATTGCTTCATAGACCACCCTCACTTGTCCACTACTCCATCTCTTCCACTACTATCACATCCGCTACCTTCGTTCAGCATTGTTACATACATGTAGTCCGCCCGGGGCGGTCGGGTAGCTAGGTTAAATCGTTCGTTCGTCACGTCGAAGATTCGGGCGTTTCCCAAAATAGAAAAGAAAATCACTTCTTTAATGTCTCCTAGCTCTCTGTACCTTTTTGTCGACATCTTTTCTTCTATACTCTTCAAAAGAAGAAACGCAAAACGGATATTTTTTACCATAAAAGAAAAATTATCGGACCAAGAGGTGCAAAATGAAGAGGTTTAATGTGTTATAGTGTCATGATCAGTGACACATTTCCCGGATCAAAATGATCACAAGGACATGCAAACCATTAGTCGGGAAACACGTACGATACGGAAAGACGCACCCAATGGGCCATAGAGCTGCACGTACTGCACGTGCAGCAGTATTATGAACGGTATTTGATTGCCTGGCATCTGCGTCAATCGAAGAGTGACAGTTCAACAACATGCCAAGTTTACCAGAAGTGCAAAGAAACAACGCCATAGGTCGCTTGCAGGTAAGGGAATCCCGATCAGATGTAGCCAGGGTTTTCAATGTAGCGCTCATCACCATCACCATTCTCCTACCACACGTCCTCCCAATTGCAGCCAACGACGGTGTATTCCAGCAGGACAACGTACGAACGCATACAGCTCGTATCACAAGAGCCTGTCTACCCAACAACAACGTTGATGTTTTCAGCTGGCCCTCCAGATCCCCGGATTTGAGTGAGTGAGTGAGTGAGTTGGGTTTAACGCCGCTTTTAACAGTATTCCAGTTACACCACGGTGTGACAACTTAATGTGTCAATAGAGCCCGAAGTGATGCAGGTCTCAGACGTTTACCACTTCGGTGAAACCCACGAGCACGGGTATGGTGCTGACAAACCTAGAAACATAATCGAGGCGAACCGGGATTCGAACCCACAATCATAGGTTTCTTGAACCCGAGTACCTGTGGGATGAATTGGATATACGGCTACGCCGACGTTAAGCACAACCCCAGACGTTGGAGAAGTTGGCTTTTGCGTTGCAGGCCGAGTGGGCTACCATTCCCCAGGATGTGATGCGCAGACTCGTCTCTTCCATGGACAGCAAATGTCAGGCCGCTATCGATTCCAACGGAGGACATACGCGTTATTG